GCGGACACTGAGGTCTTTGTTTTCAACTCAATAGCATCGCACACATGCCTCCAAACAACATATTCCAACCTTTAAAAAGGTGTTGTGTCCAGCTAACAGACACAAACCCACATACATCACATTTGAGAAGCTAGAAGGAGAGTTTTTGACCTTTTGCTTTATAAATGGCAAATGATTTAATATACAATGGGTATGATACATAGCGCTTAGTTTACATATCACTATAATTATAAGCTCTGCAGTTAAAGGGTTAAGTCAATGTTGGCAAAACCTTTCCCACAAACAATGCAACGATATCCGGCGACGCACTTCAAATATGCAAATGAAAATTCTCTAGAAACCACTCTGTGATGTGAGCAATGCAGTTCTGCTGTTTACAAGCTGATCAATACTTCCTTGTAGTATCACAAAGAACTAAGCAGTGTTTCAGCATCTGATAAACCTCCTGGGTCATATTGAAAGCCTTTAAAGAGGCACATAAGGGATGCAATTGAAGCAGAGAGATCCTGACTTGTATCTCTATGATGGCTCATAATCACTGGAGAACACATTTCCCATAATGCAACTCATTAAAAGGAGCCCTATTCTGCTTTTCCATATATATATATATATATATTTTCCATTTCATCTCTTCACTCACATGCCAAACAGTCCCAGGATCAGGGATAAAAAGCAGATTAATCTCCTCCATGCTGACCATTTGACAGCTCCCATTGATAATCCTGGTTTCTGGTCTGTTCACCGCAGACACGGAGATAATGAGATTCGAGCGGACCGTCAGGATTAACATTTACAAATCACTCACCTCTCTGAGCGTCATGTGTCACCTGCAGCTTCCTCTCAGCTGTCATCATACCTGTAGCATCATGTCTGAATATCTTTGTACATAACAACCGTCTCTATTTCTGTTTCAATGCTCAGTATGACGGGTTCTCCCAGAGCCAGCTCCACTGTCTCGCTGTCCGCCGGCGCCCTGAGGGAGCCGCTGAGGAATATCAATGATGTTTGTTCCCATGGAGGAGAAGCTAAGGGTTAGAGCTCCAAATGTTGGCACACGAAACAGCTGCTGGGAAAAATCACTTCAGCTTTTCTGCCTCTGAAGAGTGATGTCAGGAAATCTGGGAAGTTTTACACCAACGGTTTCATATCAGAAGCTTCACTAACCAGCTTTTGGGTGATAAATAACATTTAAGTTAAACAGTGAAAGCAGCGCTAAACCACCCAAACGTCATCAGCTAATTGAAACCCATGAATCATCACCAGGACTTCATTAGTAAAAGAGAGTGCTGACATAATCATCATTATGAGTCAGAAACAAACAAGTCCTGATTTCTGGCTCATAAAGAAACCAAATGACGCCTATCAAAGTCTGCAATAACACTTTGTCACCTGTAGAAATAACCCATGATGCTCTCTGTTGTCCTTACATGCCACCTTTAAATCACAGCGATGACACAAAGAGGACGTCGATGCCAATTATTTCTGGCGTCAGACACAAAGAATAAAGCATCACTGTGCCAGAGCGGCAGCAGAGGGTTGTTTACTCCAATTTGCATGTTTGCATTTTGCATGATCTGGTTTGACCTCCGCTCGCAGAGGAGAAACCTGCAGGTAAACATAAACGCACCACCTGTCCACCTCTCCAAGAGCACAATGAGAGAAGATAGTACACCTGTTGATTCATTTATGACCTTTCTCAAACTGTCCCCGACCAAATAAAGTCACATTAAACTCTCTAAACTATACAATCAACTCCGTAATCCCGCACTGAGCAACAGTTAGTCTGTGCACCTGTCAGATCCCATAACAACATCTGGCCTTCAGCCTGCAGCTCTCTGCTCAGTCTGCGCACTAATTAGCTCACGTTGGTGTCACTGTTTGACCCTGAACGCCTCGTGGGAATCTCTGACAAGCAGATACTCTGAGTGTTAGCGATGCTGTCAGTAAACACAACACGGCAACACAACCTGTGTGTTTTATTGAACAGTTTAAGATCTCTATTAACGTCAAACTGCTCTGGTCAGTGCATGGGAGTGTGGGGATATTTCTGCACATTAATGCAACCAAATATGATGCAAATATTCACTAAATCAGTAATGCAACACAGCACAATAAAACTGATCAACTGCTCAGGAAAGGTGTTCAGAATATGACTAAACTAAAGTCAGATTCAGACGCATTTCTGGGTGAAATATGAGGATAATTTGAAGGAAATGTTAAGGGAACTATTACACTATTTGTTCTGCTTTATTCTAATGCATTAATACTCCAAGAGAGTACATTTGTTGTGATGTTTATGAGAGTGAAGCTGCAGCAGCCGGAGAGTAAACTACATCCACAGACAGGTGGGGAGGGGGGAAGCGAGCAGCACCATGCCGGAGATGTTGACCCACTAACAGATCCGAGGAGACGTGTTGTGGCATTTTATTCCCCGGCGGCTGCAGAGCGTCCGCCTGACTGAGCTGAGAAACGCACAGAGGAAGAGGACGGTTTCTAACATCCTCTCAATGTTTCATAACTACAGTCTGGAAAGCTCAACACACGTCAGACGTTATTTATGAGATGAACTGCTGCCTTTCCCTTTGTCTCTCAATGTCCTACAGTTCCCAGAATGCCTTTCAATTACCTCCAGGGAGCATGAATCGACTTATGAGTTAAGGAACAACTGCGAGAGTCAAGCTGCTTTCATCAAAATGCTCCTGGTGTGCAGCTGCAATGCATTATGGGCTTTTTCTTGTCTCTTGTCTTCTTGTCCTGATTGGTTATCTGTTCAAATGTTAGCTTCAGAAAGAACTGCTGCTTAAAATGGTTTAAAATGCATTAAAGGTTAAAATAATAAGACAAATCGAGGCAGTAATATCTCAGTAGTGCTTTCATTTCTATATTTAAGAGTCCCGGTTTAATCATTGCATTGGATGCTGGGAAATAAAAACACTTCTGAGCTCTGACACTTCTATAAACACCATCACATCAACCAGGTAAATATAATAAACAGAAAGGCCTAATGAATGCACGGCTGGTTGTGTTTGAGTCCTGATGAACACACAGAGATATTGCAGAGCAGCCTGAAGTCAGATTACTCTGCAGAAAAACTGCTTTGAAGACAGATACCTGCATCATCCTCTCACTTAAAATCAAACCCAGAGTAGGACCCCTTGGTGTCTCCAGGAACCACAGATAGAAACGCATCCAAGTTCATAGTGTTTTACATTTGATAGAAAACAGAGGAGAATCCTGTCTGTTACTCGATGAATCTCTCATTTACACCAGACCTCATTCTACTCGTTTATTTATATTCTGTATTAGTTGATACTCTGAAACTACAGCTGTCAGATACAGAGAGGAGTAAAAGTACAATATTACCTTTCAGCATAGTAGCTTAAATGAGTATTAAGAAGATGTGCTTTCCATCACTGTTCATCATAAGAATATTTAACCTTAATTGATCTTAAACTCGGTTTGTCTGAGACCCCTTCAGGGACCTCTGGAGAGCTACAGACAGCGGAAAAAACACAACTCTCTCAGTTAAACACCATATGTCCCTGCATCCATGTTTTCTGTACAGATCCACTGACAGGATGATCGACCCTGATGCGGCCATCCGGGTCAGACACACCAACAATCAGCCCGCTGACCTCCATCAAATCATCCTTCATGCTGCCTTCAGGAGCCTCTCTTCGGAGGAATCTATCAATACTGCATGGTGTTTGACAGCAGGTGTGTGTGTGTGTTTGAGACAAAAGAGATGCACGGTGCGCGGACACTCACCATCATCCCCGGCACGTTCGTCCGCGTTCACATGACGGCAAAAGAAGCCAGAAACATCCACCATTTTCAACCTTTTTATCCCCGACTTGGGTGTACTCCCGTCGGTGTGGAGATCCGTGTTTCCCCGCAGCCTGCAGGGCGGTGGATCCCCGACCCGGCTAGTCCTCCATGGGGGAAAAACGACACACAAACCGGCCTGGAAACAGAGCAATAACCCGGGTTACATGCCGGGTAAACAGCTGGATATTAAAGGCGTGTGAGCAGCAGACTCCGGGTGCATCTGATGGAGGAAGATGCTCCCGGTGCGTCAGGGGAGAAACTGAGAAACTGGCCTCCACTGCAAGAAATAACCAGACCTGTCAGAGCCTGACAAAAAATCTAAATGAGGAAAATCCGCAGCGGCTCCTAGAGGCTTACCTTTTAAATGCACCCCTTGTAACTTGTTTTAGGACCTACTTACCTCACCTCAACTTACCTTACCTTACCTTACTTACCTTACTTTACCCCAAAGCGGAAAACATACTTATAGTTTATTCTCTAAAAACAATAAATGGTATTTATTACATGCATAATATACAGTGGAATCAAACTGTGTTTTTTTACACAATGCATGACCATATATGATTGAAAAGACCCAGCAAGAACTCGCATGTATTTCTGTCTCTTTTGCAAATGTGCAAATGTGCAAATAGAAATAAAGTCACGTGAAATCTTTTGCAGTGCGCGTGGCTCGACGTCATCGATGTCAAGCTGATCAAAATTAAAAACACCGGAGGGTGCACATTTAAAAAATCTAACAAATTCCAGAGAAATATATAAGCATGTGCAAACTGCATTCACAAATCACAAGTCAATCCTTCACATGTGTTTAATTATGTGCTTACATTTGGACTCTCCAATGTTTACTTTTGGATGGTTTAAAACTATTTAAGTGACACACATTTGATTTTAAAGTATGACCATATCTCTGTTTCACGTTGTGCTGTAATAATGCTCAAGTTATTTACACTTATATTATCCTAAATGTAATAAACTGAGTCCAGCAGGGGGCTGCAGAGGTCTTGTCTTTTCAACACACTTTCAGTCCTCTAAGCCTAAGTGCTTCTCAAACTTTTTTCAGTAATGTACCCCCTTTGAAACATTTTCTCAGCCAAGTACCCCCTGACCGACCCCGACATTTTTTGATAGAAAAAGCCTATATAAATAATTACAATATACTATGATGTCCCATCAGTGTGTGATGTATTAACTCCTTCATGCATGAATTACAACAAACTAAGGATATTTTCATCTTTATGCATGAAAAAAAAGAAAACACTTTTTTAAAACGGAAGGAGTTTTTCAATTGAAGTAAAATGTTTAATAGATAGAATCGGAGGGATGAAACCCCTCTTTAATGGTCACACATGCAGAGCACACAGCACACACAGTGACATTTGGCCTCTGCTTTTAACCCATCCTAGTACCAGGAGTCTAGTACCAGGAGTCTAGTACTAGGAGCAGTGGGCAGCTATTGTACAGCGCCCGGGGAGCAATGGGAGTGAGGGGGGAAGGGGGTTGTCTGGTGCCTTGCTCAAGGGCACCACGGCAGGGCAGGAGGTGAACTGGGACCTCTCCAAGTAGCAGTCCACACTCCATATTTAGGTCTGTTCGGGGACTTGAACCGGCGACCCTACCGGTCACAGTCCAAGCCCCCACTGACTGAGCCACTGCCAGACAAACCAATGAACAAAATGAAATATTATGCAAAAACTATAAAATACAATACGCAAATATTATAATAACATCCACGGTGGTGCCTGATGTGCAACTATACATCCAAAACCCCATGCATGCCATATACAAGAACACAGCATTTAATTAGCAGTCTCTAATGGAGTGACCACACTGCATGCATTCAACTGCATATGAAAATCGAACATACCATTTAGGGTACCACTTTACAATAAGACTACCCTGATAAAGGGTTTACGAATAGTTTGTAATTCATGTATTAATTAGGTTATGAACACTTTATAAGTCATTATTAGCTTTTATAAGACATGAGATAAACAGGGCGACTGTGACCGGTTGCTTGCCAAATAGTGAGCCCACATTTATCTGTACTGCTAAGCCTATTGGCTACTTAGCTTACTTCATCTCCTTCATCAGCCAGCATCCTTGGTATCTGTTGTTCACTGAGTTGATTCTCGCTAAGTAGCCAATATAAGGCTGTCATCTTGCCAAATAGTGAGCCTGTGTTGATGTATGAAAACTATGTATGAACTGGTTTATAAATGGTTCTTAATGATTAATAAAGTGTTTACAACCTAATTCATAACCTAATTATAAGCCCTTTATGAATCCTTTATAAGGGTAGTCTTGTAAACTGGTACCCAATTTAGTGTAAAAACATTGGCAGAGTTATATGCCATCAGTGTCTTATTTATTAAACCACATTTGAACTGAAAAACAATTGTAATAATAAAACATCCCCAACGTACCCCTAGGGGTCCGCGTACCCCCATTTGAGAATCACTGCTCTAACCGCAACATCCAGAGAGATGAGGCAACAATGCATTGACAATATATACATTTTTATTTGTGGAAAGGCATTTAAAGCAGATATCTACAGGATAACAACAGTATTAACAATCTTCCAGGATTGGTGCAGACACTACCTCCTTTCTCATTCTTCCTTTCCTTCATCGCCTCCTTGTTTACTTCCCTCTTCTCATTCCATGTCTTGCCTCCTACCTTCTTAACATTAAACAACATTGTATTTGATGTGAAATTAGTCTCACAGTGATGCTATGCTATGCAAGGCCCTGAGAATATCAGGACTGTAATTTGATAAATTAACTCCTGTATTGAAGTCACAGCGCTTAGTGTGCTGACATGGATAAATGATTACCAGAAATACGAGAAATGCCCTGTAATTAGTCTTAAAAATAGGTATTCTATGCTATCATTCAGTGACTTATTTTAGTAAAGTATGTGCAGACGTGTGTGCATTTCATCCTGTGCACGATGCTGCATTCAAAGAGCGAAGACAGAGATGTAGTTGGACTTGTGTTGCACACTTGGAATTGTTTCTGCAGAATCCCTCAGGCTCGCGGCAGGAAGCGCAGGTTGATGGGCTTCCCGGGGATCAGCAGGGTTCGAGTTTTGGGCTCCACCACGGGTGCACCGGGCTCAGGCTGCACCTCGAACTTCTGCATCAGCTGGAAGACCACCAAACTGTTAACATCACACTCTGACAACAAGCTAATGTAGTCCTGCATTCATGACAAAACTTGAGTAAAAGCGCAAAAGTACGAGCATCAAAATGAACTATTTCTGCTCAAATATATCATATACCATACAGGGTAGCTTGTGAATTCAACTTAGAAATGTGCAGACCCTCGGAGATGATAAGTGTGACCCTCATTGTGTTTTGGCTCTGTGACAAACTGGGTTCTTCAGCTCCTCTCTCAACATGGATGCTAACATCTGTTTGCATGAAAGGTAATCATTAAAACAAATATCAACCCCCCTCTCTTTATGCACTTGATCCTTAAAGTCACTCTGACATTGGGAGGGGGTGATTATATAGAACTAGCTGCAGGTAGACTGTGTAAATGTTTCTCCTGCCAAAGACCTAGAGCTCAAAGCCTTTTGTAAACACACAGCTTTATCAGGTCAGGGGGTTGGAGGATATGAGGTTGAATCCTGTGGGAAGAGTTATGTAACTTTGACCAAGAAGTTTTCTGGCATAGGAGCAGCAGATCACACGTGTCCCTCCTCTCTCTCTCTATTAACTGGAGTGATGTTTTAACTTCCTGTCGGTGTCTCTCACCCTGGACAGAGCGAAGAACATCTCCATCTCCGCCACCCTCTTCCCGACGCAGCCTCGCACCCCCACCCCGAACGGGATGAAGCTGTACGGATGATGATTGTAGGATCCGGTCGTCGATTTGCTTCGAGAGGAATCGCCTCGCAGCCATCGCTCCGGCTTGAAGAGCTCGGCGTCTTCAAACTGATCTTCATCGTGACAGAGCGAGTAGTGGCACAGGTGGAACTGCGTCTGGAAAAATGAAATAGTTGCACGTGAATGTTCTTTTCAATCGTTTAATGTTAACGGAGCACTTGAAGCAGCGTCACACCTTCTTTGGGAACCTGTAGTTTCCCACGACCACCTCGTCCTCCGAAACGAAGCGTCCGTTTCCAGGAACCACAGGATAGAGGCTGGAGGAGAGAGGCAGAAGAATATCATTTGCATAATAATGACAGGTTTGAGGTTTTTCAGTACAGTTTGTTCTAACTCCACCTGGTTCAGGGAAGACATGAATCACCACTTCATTTTGTTGTACTATTGCCTCACAAAACGTTCCCTGAGGATGTTCTGACAGGCAGATATTTCTCACCGCAGCGTCTCCTTGATGACGGCCTTCAGGAAGGGCATCCGGCTCAGGTCGTCAGAGTTTGGCTCCTGGAGGTCCGGACACACGGAGACCACCTCTCTGTGGAGACGCTCCTGAGCCCCCCCGTCCCTCGCCAGGTGGTACAGAGTCCACGACAAAGTGTTGGAGGTCTGAGGAAGAGGAGGGAGGAATCAGAGGTGGGAAGTATTGGAGTACAAATACTTCGTTACTGTACATTTTTCTGGTATCAGTACTTTACTCCACAACTTTTTACTTTGACTTCTTACATGTTGAACACAAATACCTGTACTTTCTACTTCTTACATGTTGAACACAAATACCTGTACTTTCTACTTCTTACATGTTGAACACAAATACCTGTACTTTCTACTTCTTACATTTTGAACACAAATACCTGTACTTTCTACTTCTTACATGTTGAACACAAATACCTGTACTTTCTACTTCTTACATGTTGAACACAAATACCTGTACTTTCTACTTCTTACATGTTGAACCCAAATACCTGTACTTTCTACTTCTTACATGTTGAACACAAATACCTGTACTTTCTACTTCTTACATGTTGAACACAAATACCTGTACTTTCTACTTCTTACATGTTGAACACAAATACCTGTACTTTCTACTTCTTACATTTTGAACACAAATACCTGTACTTTCTACTTCTTACATGTTGAACACAAATACCTGTACTTTCTACTTCTTACATGTTGAACACAAATACCTGTACTTTCTACTTCTTACATGTTGAACCCAAATACCTGTACTTTCTACTTCTTACATTTTGAACACAAATACCTGTACTTTCTACTTCTTACATGTTGAACACAAATACCTGTACTTTCTACTTCTTACATGTTGAACACAAATACCTGTACTTTCTACTTCTTACATGTTGAACCCAAATACCTGTACTTTCTACTTCTTACATTTTGAACACAAATACCTGTACTTTCTACTTCTTACATGTTGAACACAAATACCTGTACTTTCTACTTCTTACATGTTGAACACAAATACCTGTACTTTCTACTTCTTACATGTTGAACACAAATACCTGTACTTTCTACTTCTTACATGTTGAACCCAAATACCTGTACTTTCTACTTCTTACATGTTGAACACAAATACCTGTACTTTCTACTTCTTACATGTTGAACCCAAATACCTGTACTTTCTACTTCTTACATTTTGAACACAAATACCTGTACTTTCTACTTCTTACATTTTGAACACAATCTTTACTTTGACTTGAGTAAAGAAGTTTAGTCAGTACTTCTACTTTTACCAGAGTATTTTTAAACACGAGTATGTGTACTTCTACCTGAGTAAAGGATGTGTGTACTCTTGCCATCACACACTGCTGTCAGAGAGGGTTTACCTGAATCATCTTCAGAGCGCATGCATGAATAATGTCATGATAACTCATCCGAACCCTTAAGCAAGATCTTTTGATTGGCAATCAGCTCAGCAGAGAAGCATGATCCTTCCTTACTTTCTCCATATTGTTGACACAGTGTGTAGATGTTGTACACATGGTGATCTCTACTCCGACAGCCTCGCCTCGTCAGGAATGCAAGCCGACGGGCTCAACGTGAAGAAACACAACCTGAACTCGGTGTTGTTGCAGGTTTCCTGAACCACTCTCACTGTGAGGAGCAGGGTGTTCAATACTACAGCATATCCACAGTTAAAGGATTCCTCTGCACAGTTTTTAATTTGACTTTCTGTCTTATTTCTTTCATGCACCAATGTGTCACTAATTATTTCTAATGTCTTTATTGCCTTAAGTATATTGTATTTTTGGAGAAACCTGGGTCTTTTGGGGACTTTTATTGCGATTCCTAGAACTGCTGAGCAAATGATGATAAAGCATGTGTATTTTAAATATTTATCTTGGCTCTTAATCTTTCTACCTACAACCTACAACACATTTACTTTGAACCCTGCAGGCAGGGTTCAAAGTAAATGTGTTGTAGGTCTTTAGGACAACTCTAATTCCAAAGAAAGTATGCAATACATTCTTTGGAATTACTTTCATTTGTTCTTATCTTTTAGACTAATTGAGCGCTTGTTGTTTCTTATAAAGGGATTGTTTTCTGTGGGCATGATGTTTTAAATACCTGCAGCCTGCAGCCTTCATAGCTGCATAGCTTTCGGCAAAAGAACGGCAAAATATCTACAAAAAAATCACCAAAATATCTGCAAAAAATCACCAAAATATCACAGAAACCTGTAGGCAGAAACTCCCAGCATGCAGTGCTCACCGTGTCGACCCCCCCCAACAGCAGCTCCGTGACACTGGTGTAAACCTCGCTCCTGCTCAGCTGGTCTGAGGTCACCAGGTACGTCAGATACAAGCCCTCCGCCGGCTCTCCGCTGCTCACCTGAGCCTCGATCTCACAGATCCTCCTGTCGATGAGGGTCCGAGCTGCACGGAAAAACGTTCAATTAATAACAGCTTACGTAGTTTATATATTTGTATGCTGAGAGTTTAAATAGCATTTGTAAAGTTAATATTATATGCTTGATTATGTTTGAAGATAACTGCGTTTGTTGGAATATTATTTATAAGTATTATGTGTGAATTAACATAAATGTGTTATCCTCTTTTCTGCCAGATCAACCAGCAAAGAGTCTGGAAAAATTCTGCTAACTTTTTTCAAAAAATCTGCAAACAATTAGCAAATTACCGTAAAAAAGATTGTAAAAAAACACCAACATATCTTCAGAAAACACCAAAATCAGCAACAAATCACCAAAATATCACCAAAAAATGACCAAAATGACCAAAATATGACAAAAATCACCAAAATATCACCAAAAAATCACCAAAATAGCACCAAAAAAGCACCAAAATATCACCAAAAAAGCACCAAAATAGCACCAAAAAATCACAGAAAATCACAAAGAAATCACCAAAATATCACAAAAATCACCAAAATATCACCAAAGAAACACAAAAAATCACAAATAATCAGCAAAATATCTTCAAAACATTCCAAAAAATACTTAAAAAAGCACCAAAAAAATCACTAAAAACATCACTAAAAAATTTGGAAAATATCTGCAAAATGTCTGCAAACAAGCAATAAGAGAGACATGGTGTCCCACCCTCATCCCACAGTGAATCCAGAAGTGTTTTGATGTGCAGGAAGCCTCTGGAGCTGCATACCTACGTCATAGAGGTCGTCCCAGGCCTGAACGAAGCGCCCCCAGAAGGGCAGGACGCCGCGGCTCCATCGGGGGAAAAGAATCACCGTTTCAGACAGCGTTAGCATGTCGTTAGCCGCCGTGATGAAGCGCAGCGTGTCGGGGGGGATCTCCTCCTGAAGGCATCCCATCCGGGTCTCAAACAAGATGGAGGAGATACCTGCAAGGAGGAGGAAGAAGTCACATGATGCATTTCAGCGCTGCAGGAGCCAAAATGCTTGTTTTGCCATTGCTTATTATTTCTCTTATTATCTTCATTTCTGTTTGCATCACGTTTAATTCTTATTGTTTATGACTTCCAGCAATTGTCACGTGGGTGTAGTTGGTATTTAGGTCACCTGTTGGATGCCGGTTTTGGGACATGACGTAGAGGAGAGGGTGAATTGCTCTGATACTTTCTGTTGATCGTGTGCTCTGGAGTTGTATATTCTTTGTTTTTCCTATTTATTAAACACCATGGACTACGGACTCTTAGAGGGGGAGTTTTTGCCGCTACAAGCACTCCATGGATAACTTTGGTTTGCAAGGAAGACTCATTGTTGACACAAACTGAGAGCGTTCAGATAGACCTAAACCAGCCTAAAGCAGTTCCCTTTATGCCAACTAAGTGCTCTAGTCTTTGCAATAGGCTGATCGATAGTATCAAATGCAGCACTGAGATCGAGCAAGACAAGAATAGAGACTTTGTCTGAAGCTATTACAAGGTCAGCTGTGACTTAAACAATAGCTGTCTCTGTGCTATGTTGTGGTCTAAAGCCAGACTGAAAATCTTCAAATAACTCATTGTTTTTTGCTTTCTTAAGGATTTTTGAGAGGAATGGAAGATTAGAAGTACCTCTATAGTTGGCTAAAACGTCTGTTTGATCGAGGTTGTATCATAAATGGACTACGACTTAATTTCAGTCACACAGCAGCGTTAGTGAGGCAGAGCTGACAAATATGCACTTGAAATAGACTGTGCCAGATGCTGATGGATGAGTGTCTCCTCTACTGAAACGTGGCCCGAGGCAGAATTAGAGGGTAAACCTTGATGTTAAAACGTGTTTCCTGAGGGGATCGGAGAGAGTGGGTTAGGAATGTGTTTTGGGAATGAAGCCGGATTGTTCTCCTGAGGGCGAGAACAAAGAGGAAATCACATGAACAAGCAGAAAGTAGCGTTAGGCAGGAGGGTAAGAAACAGAGGATTTAGCAGCTTCAAAAAAGACCACCAGATTTGGGGAAATGTGTGTGTTTGGTGGCAAAAGTACACACACCCTTTACTCAAGTAGAAGTACAGATACTCGTGTTTAAAAACACTTGAGTAAAGAAGTTTAGTCAGTACTTCTACCAAAGTAAAAGTAAAGAGGGCTTTGAAATGTACTTCAGTAAAAAGTACCCATAACTAGCAGCTGTTTTAAAGAGTACCTGACCTCCCTTTATATTAATAGAACAATAATGTCATTGTTAGCTAATGAATGTTTCCATGCTGAACAACGGCAACATGACAACGTTTTCATTGGTCCCTCTTCTTTAGAGAAGACCAGGAAATGATGGATACACGGATCGTGTTCAAATCAATAGGCACGCCAGAAAAAGGGATACATTAGCGACTCCACCGAGTAGTAACGTTGTTTCTATCACTGACAATCAAGCTGGATCAGATAAGTAGCTGTGACTACTGCAGAGTCATTGTTTTGGGGAATTTATATATTAACCATTTACAATTAAGACAACATCCTGATCATGATGATTTTCTCCAGCAGTAACAGGGCTCTCCAACAAGCTATACTGCTTATCTATTTGTGTTTTTCAAGGCTTTACAAAAGAAAATCTGAGAAATAATCAGATGCACGTTCTACAACTGTGAACACCTGTTCCCCTTTGAACAGCTGTTTAAAGGGGGAATAACTGAAGTCACAGGAGATCTAGTGGAAGGTAATTGAAGTATTTTCATCAGGAAACAAAGTGGAGAAGATGCAGCATTCATGTTTGAGTGGATGTGGTCAGTGGTGACTGAGCGCAATCAGCAGATGAATCTCAAGCCACAGGGTGTTATTGAGTGATCATGTCAAGCTCTCAGGGCCTGTCAGCATTGTCCATGTTCAGCCCAATTCCTTTCACAAAAGCTGACTACAGTTTAGTCACCTGGAGTGATATAGCATCCCGAATTAGCGAGGATGCAGATGATTGTTACACCCCTTCCTACCCCATAGACTTTGAGCAACCTTTGAAGTACAAGGGCTTAATCTCGCTCATTGTTGACACAGTAAATAAAGACTACCTGCCAGACGGTTTCAAACGATTGAGGGTCCTAAAACTTATATATGTGAAGAAATACGTTAAACTAGCTTTTGAATACAGATAAGAATACCGCACACACCATCTTTGTTGGTTGAAGCCTTGGTAGCAGTTGTACCCTGGTTTGGCGCCCGAACAGTGAACTCAGTGAAAGTTAAAATACATGACTGTTCACTGCCATTACCCTTAGGTAAATCCCCTACACGTGACTGTTCCGTTTATGTTCCCCCAGTTGTGGTGCATGAGTGGAAGAATGTGTCCATCTGCTTCCAGAGCGGAGGAGGGTTTTTACCCTCTGACGATGTGGGCCACAGCGACTGTAACACCGTAGTAAAGATCAAGTTAACCAGAACTCCCCTTCCAGAGAGGGTTTACTTGGTTTGTGGGAACAGAGCCTACGGTTGCGTGCCTTATGATACTTTTGATGGCACCTGTTATCTAGCCTATCTAATCCCTTTGATCCGTAAAGTAGAGACTGAGGAGATTGCAGCAATATTCCCTGCCCTACACAGAACTCGTAGAACCATCACAACAGGTCAGCAGCTGGCTAGCGCATTTCTGCCCTGGTACGGTATTTATGTTTCCCAGCAGGAAATTATAGCTCTCTCCAAGGTCGTGGAGAAGCACCTCAATGTGTCCAACACAGCCATGTTAGCTGAACACAAAGAACTGCAGGAAGTTAGAACAGTGGCATTACAGAATCGCATGGCACTGGATCTTCTACTAGCAGCACAGGGGGGTACATGCAAGGTGATTGGGTCTGAGTGTTGTTCTTTCATCTCTGATGCCACACCTGAGGTCATGGATATGGCTCATAATACTGCTAGGGGAAAAAAGAATTGCACGAAACTCATGGGTTTGCATTTGGGGATTTAACTGGAACATTTGGGTCATGGGGAGGGGGGATTGTAAAATTCATTGTTACCATTTCAGTGTTTATCATAGGTGTGCTAATCCTGATAATGTGCCTAGTCACTGTAGTTAAACTAGTCCTGCGAAAGATTACCAAAGCCGCCCTCCAGGCCCCACAGAGACTAGTGGGGTACACCACCGTTGATGACACCGTGATGATGTACGACGCCGAGCTTCCAGACCCGTGGGTCGCTGCCGTGGTTTCCGAACCATGGGTTCCCCCTAACCGGTCAACTTGTCTGGCACGAATGGTAATTGTTGTGAGAACGCTGAGGCACTTCTTTATCGGTGTTTGTGGACTCTAAGATGTGAAATCTTTGAGGCCATGAGCGTCGGACGCAGGTGGTTCAGTGTTCCCAGCTGTTTAGTCTACTCCTTCAGAGATGTTGATTACTCTCTGTGAACCAGTTAAAAGGTCTAGCATAGAGAGAGGCTCTTCAGAATTGACGTGGCAACTCTACCGTGTGGTCAGAACCTCTGACTCTTTGACTTGTGATGTGAATCCTCCGGCCGAATACTCTGAATAAACCCATCAGTGTTTGACATCAAAGCTCCAACTCTCACCGTGTCTCCTTCCTGAGTCGGTGACTCCATGCATTGCTACACAGAAGTTTCCCCCACAAGCATCAACGGTGATTTTCAAGGGGAACACTTCATTCATAAGAGGAGAAACTGTGGTGATGATGGCCACATAACTTCCTGTCAAATAGTTTGCATACATCTTAGTGTGACATTTGGGTGTGAGCACAGTGTGATTAGGAAATGAGTGAGAAAACATTTTCTGCACATCATTTCATGTATCTATACGTCACCGTGTTGCCTTATTAGCCAGTCTTTGAGTCCGCGTTGGTTAGTTTGGAGGAATTACCCCCACATTAAATTCTCCTGTGGTGAAAGACAAACATGTCATTGTTGATCTACGATCAGGAAGGATTGCGGTTTCCTGGGGCAGATCCTGCTTCTCTGGAAGAAGTGTCACTTCCTATTGTACACTTGCTTAGTTTTAGTCAAAGTAGTCTGTTGAAATCATTTTAATATTAAATCTAAATAATAATGATCACGCCACCAAACACACATTCAAACTAAAGGAACCAGCCTGTTTGGAAAATGTGACAAGTAGAAAGTACAGGTATTTGTGTTCAACATGTGAGAAGTAGAAAGTACAGGTATTTGGGTTCAACATGTAAGAAGTAGAAAGTACAGGTATTTGTGTTCAACATGTAAGAAGTAGAAAGTACAGGTATTAGGGTTCAACATGTAAGAAGTAGAAAGTACAGGTATTTGTGTTCAACATGTAAGAAGTAGAAAGTACAGGTATTTGGGTTCAACATGTAAGAAGTAGAAAGTACAGGTATTTGTGTTCAACATGTGAGAAGTAGAAAGTACAGGTATTTGTGTTCAACATGTAAGAAGTAGAAAGTACAGGTATTTGTGTTCAACATGTAAGAAGTAGAAAGTACAGGTATTTGTGTTCAAAATGTAAGAAGTAGAAAGTACAGGTATTTGTGTTCAACATGTAAGAAGTAGAAAGTACAGGTATTTGTGTTCAACATGTAAGAAGTAGAAAGTACAGGTATTTGTGTTCAAAATGTAAGAAGTAGAAAGTACAGGTATTTGTGTTCAACATGTAAGAAGTAGAAAGTACAGGTATTTGGGTTCAACATGTAAGAAGTAGAAAGTACAGGTATTTGTGTTCAACATGTGAGAAGTAGAAAGTACAGGTATTTGTGTTCAACATGTAAGAAGTAGAAAGTACAGGTATTTGTGTTCAAAATGTAAGAAGTAGAAAGTACAGGTATTTGTGTTCAACATGTAAGAAGTAGAAAGTACAGGTATTTGGGTTCAACATGTAAGAAGTAGAAAGTACAGGTATTTGTGTTCAACATGTAAGAAGTAGAAAGTACAGGTATTTGGGTTCAACATGTAAGAAGTAGAAAGTACAGGTATTTGGGTTCAACATGTAAGAAGTAGAAAGTACAGGTATTTGGGTTCAACATGTAAGAAGTAGAAAGTACAGGTATTTGGGTTCAACATGTAAGAAGTAGAAAGTACAGGTATTTGTGTTCAACATGTAAGAAGTAGAAGTACAGGTATTTGTGTTCAAAATGTAAGAAGTAGAAAGTACAGGTATTAGTGTTCAAAACGTAAGAAGTAGAAAGTACAGGTATTAGTGTTCAAAACGTAAGAAGTAGAAAGTACAGGTATTTGTGTTCAACATGTAAGAAGTAGAAAGTACAGGTATTTGTGTTCAACATGTAAGAAGTAGAAAGTACAGGTATTTGGGTTCAAAATGTAAGAAGTAGAAAGTATAGGTATTTGTGTTCAACATGTAAGAAGTAGAAAGTATAGGTATTTGTGTTCAACATGTAAGAAGTCAAAGTAAAAAGTCGTCATGCTAACAGAGGCCCTACGTAGCTGTGTACGTAGCCGGATGTCTGACTACATGGATGACGCTCATGAGACACTGTGTTGAAGTCATGATAGCTATGTTCCTAAGATTGGCATGATGGCTGTCATGCTTATTGCTTATGCAGGCCTTAGCTAATCTGAACTAATGTCAGAATACTGCTTTGAACCGGTATTCCTCCATCTTGTTGACTGTAACTCCCTCTCTTGTATATCAGCATATCAAGGACTCTACTCTGGGAACTATTTGTCCCACGCAGCTCTGTGTGTGATGACTACTTCCATTCTTGCAAGGATAATAAATACATGTATCCTGATATTGAAGACCAAGCGGACGAGTGATATTTTTCTAACAATAGTGGAGTAAAGTACTGATAGCAGAAAAATGTACTTAAGTACAGTAACGAAGTATTTGTACTCCACTACTTCCCACCTCTGGGTATGAGTGTGTGAGGCATGTCTGATTTGAGTCCCCTCAGTATTTCCCACCTTCAAAGCCGAACTTGTAGAGCTCGCTGGTCAGATCTGAGACCGTGTTTCCGTCCTCGCTCTTTCTCCGCAGGATCTCTACGCGTCGCAGCAGATCTCCAACCACCTGGTGGATGATGGGAGCGTACGCCGACACCTCGTGCAGCTTCAGCATCTTCGGGTTCAGAGCCCCGCGGATTCTGTACCACTCTGGTCCGGTTCTAGAGAGGAAAAGAGGTTTCTTTTAAAGGTCACCTACAGTATTATGCAAAATGCACTTGTTCAAGTCTCTTCTACATCAGCATGTGTCCCCTGTGTGTAAAGAGACTCTCTCTTTACACACAGGGGACACATGTCTCTTCTAAATCAGCATGTGTCCCCTCTGTGTAAATCACAACCAAGGTAACCCCCCCCCCCCCCCCCACACCTTATCACCTGAATGTCCTCCTAGAGCACCATTGTGTTCTTTGTAACCAAATCTCTCTCAGAGGGGCGTGGGGAGGGGCTCCTTATTTTCATCTAAAGTAACAGACAGAGAATCAGCACTTTGGAAACAGGGCTGAAACAGAGGGGATTATGGGTAATGCTGCAATGATCTGTTTGGTGTTTCAGCCAATCAGAGACAGGCTCTGGATATATCTGAGACCTGGGATATGTGGATGAAAAACAGTATAATAAGGGAACTTTAATAATATCATTGTGTGATTCTTATTTGCTAATGTTTATCTATATTTACTACTTCTCACACTTCTTAGCTAAGCCTGGGAACATTCCTTATTAAGAAGATGTGTTGCAGTGTTGTTAGTTACTCTCTACGTCACATGTGTCAAACTCAAGGCCCGGGGGCCAAATCAGGCCCGTGGTGGATTTAATTTCGGCCCGCAGGATAATGTTTAATTACTATTAGATCTGGCCCGCCGGTATATTGCACGCACACCTTCACTCCATCCTGAGGGTCTCCTCAGCTCAGAGCCTGACCCCAAACATTGATGACCTTGCACCCAAGATGAGATGCCAAGTATCTGAGCTAGCATCACAGAGCAGCACACCGAGTTCACATGGATGTTTCCTTCTGCACTTTCTCTCTCACGACAACAGGGCATGTTTGGTTTTTTCTTTGAGGGAAATAGTTTTTTTGAAGCTGTTGTTGGCCTGTGGAGAAATGTAATCATAAGAAATGACTTGGGGGGAAAGCTGCAGATAGAGCCATAAGAAATGATTATTTAATGTGTAATGTTGTTTTTATAGGCAACAATTTAAGCTTTGTTAGTTCCAGGTTTAATATGTGCAATAAGTTCATTTCAATAAGTTTTGCAATAAACATTGAACCAGTCCGGCCCTCGACTAGTACCCATTTTTAAATTTTGGCCCACTGTGTATTTGAGTTTGACCCCCCTACGTGTACCAACAGTATGACCTTCTGTTGAACTGAGAACTTCCTGATACTCCCTAACTCCCTAAACTTCCAGCATGCTCCTTTTATTGATCACCAAGCTTCACTTCTCCCTTTCTCCTCTCTCTGTGTTTAAATAACCCAAACTCTACTCTTGGTCTTTCTCTCTGCAGACTGTATGCTCTCTGTGTGACTGACTGAACCTTCTTGCAAGAAATAAAATACAACAAAGACAGCTGAATGGTTTGATTCTCTATATCACATTTGATAAACACATTCACTCCTAATAGTCCGCTTCTCTGGTGCGCACCAGACGACAGTTTATTACATCGGTTCATTTTTCAGAAGGTTCGGTTTGCGTTCACACGGGCAGAACTCAAACGGACTAAAACTTTAAACACAAGTCATGTGCACGAGATGCTGTTCAACAATTGGTCAGACATTAAGGGGGAAAAACGCAAATCCAGGCAATTTCTACCATAGCCTCCGCCATGGAGCATCGGCAGGTTATTTTCATGCTGCTGTTAATCTGGAGAGCATATCAATGGACTCTAGCAGACGGCTCATATGATTATATAATCAGATAACATGCGATAAAAAACATTATACCACATAATGAGAGACGTCCTGCAGTCAGGAGGAGGTTTGACCGACGACAGGTTTGATCAACTATTTATGTATAGTTGAGCGTTTTTACTTTACACGACAGTGTTCAACACTTCATTCTACTTCACTCTTTCGCTACAGATTTTGAAGACATCCGCGTTCTTTTGATGCGTAAATACTACGCTTCCTGTGTTTTGGTCTCAGACTGTGTTCACACCGACCCAAAGGAACCGCACCAAGCGGTGAAACGCTCCAGGGTTCGATTCAACCGGACTAAACAAAGCTGGTGTGAACGAGACCTTAAACTCCAGGGGCCCGGTGATGGAGCCCTGAGGAACTCCGTTATCACTTCATCAAGGCATATTCACTAAAGTAATTTTAGTACAAAGTGCAGATTTGTATTCTAACTTCTCTATGTTAATATATATATAATAAAATATGTACTCACTCGACATGCAGCCCGTAGGCCTGGCCCCTGAGGTCCCGGTACTCCTTCCAGTGCGGCAGATCACACCTGAGCGGGTACTTTCCCTCCTGCCGGATCACCTCTTCGATCAGCTCCGGCGACGCCACGTTCACGATGTCGAACGGACCAAACCGGGACCGCCAGATGGGCCCGAAGAGGTTCTTCTGCACATCCTGCAAACAGAGGATGCAAACGGTTAATCATTGATCATTGAAGCCACACACACCTGGTTCGGGACTTCCGGTTACGCGCACCCGGAAGATTCGGATGCAAGTTTTCAGCGCTTGTCCGTGCATCCATATGCTCGTTACTTTAAAACGTTTTGATGTGATTTAGGTGCTTTTTCTATACAGTAGTATTTGCCACGATGTTGTCTTTAGACTTTCTCAACGATGTTCGTCGCATGAATAAGCGGCAGAATTAGGGCAATATCTGTGAATTACTCTCACATCCTACACACTACTGAAACCACAATCAGGTCATCTACGATCTGCGGAGGCCTGCTCCCACCTGTAGAGTACGGCTGTACTTAGGAGGATTTTATCCCGGAGACATCGCGGTGAGACGGAGTGGCTCCACGCTTCGGGCTGGGGCCTGCTTCCACCGGGCGTGTGCTGCTGTGCGGAGGAGGATTTGCCGCGGCTGGGGCCTGCTTTCCACCTGTCCTGGTTCTGCTGTTGCGGAGGCCTGCTCCCACCTGTCGTGTGCTCCAGTGTCGTGTGCTGCTTTGCTGAGGAGACCTTTTACCCCGGGGATACCACGGAGAGACCGGAGCGCTTCCTCGCTGCTGCTTTCGCCTGTCCTTTGCTGCTGTTGAGGAGGAGGATTTTTGCCCCAGGAACATCGCGGATATTGTGTGCTGGTCTGGGAAAATGGCCCATATCGTGATTCTGCTGTGCCTGTTAACTGTTCTGGACTATGAGAATATCTCTAGTCATCCTGAGAAGCCTACTGGATTCAGGTCTGTTCTGCCACCCGCAGTAGGCATCCCCTGCAAAGGGTCGGATGTGTTACACAAACAGTTACCGGTTACCTTGTCGCAGACAATCTGCTCGACAAAATATGTTTGTCTTTTTTGTTTGCCTGCGATGATGGTACTTCAGGACTGCTTCTTAAGCTCTAATCAAACTCTCACAGACTTTTCCGGTGACTCTAAAGTAGATGACAATGTGTGTGTGTCGATTAAGAGGAAAAGATGCCTGTTTTTTTTGTTGTTATTACTGTCAGGAAATGTTCAACCTAACCCTGGTCCGCCCAGTAGTAGTAGTCAGATCGCTACTCCTGCTGATTTTAAAGCTAGGTCTGGGTTGGGTTTCATCCACTTGAATGTGCGCAATCTGTTAGGTAAACTAGATTTTGTCCGCATTTGGGCGAGCTCGACTGACGCTGACGTCATTGTGTTATCAGAAACATGGCTAAATAAAACTATTTTGGCCTCTGACATATCCTTAAATGGTTATAATGTGTATCGTACCGACCGGCCTAATAAAGGTGGTGGAGTTGCCATTTATGTTAAGAATAAGTTCAGTGTAACCACATTGATTTCCAAATCTGTCAGTAAGCAATTCGAATTTTTAGCCTTAAATATAGAAGTGGCAAAGGGGCAACAAGTCATGGTGGTGGGGTGTTACAGACCCCCCTCAGCTGTCAAGGACTCCTTGTCTTCACTAGCAAAACTTTTATCGCAACTAGACTACAAGGAAATAGTGCTACTTGGAGATTTTAACTGGGACTGGTTAACTGCAGTGTCAGAGGATTTTAAAAACCTTTGTATCTCTCTGAATGTTACTCAGATTGTTGACAGTCCTACTCGCCCTAACGTTAAGTCCCCTAATAAATCCTCCCTAATTGATCTCATTCTAACTAATGTTCCCTATAAATACCCATCTGTGGGAGTATTTGCAAATGATGTGAGTGACCACTGTGCTGTAGCCACAATCAGGGACACTAAGGTCCAAAAGGTTAAACCTCGTATTATTATTAAGAGACACATAAAACATTTTGTGGAGCAGGGTTTTGTTCATGATCTGTTTGGGTTTGATTGGGGAAAAATCGATCTGTGTGCTGATGTTGAAACTGCATGGTCTTATTTTTATCTTGGTTTTATGGAAATTATAGATAGACATGCACCCCTACGTACTTTTAGAGTAAAGGGACGAGACAATCCTTGGTTTCCTGCTGAACTGTCCAGTCTCCTGCATGAGAGAAACAAGGCCTGGGCAAAGGCTAGGAAATCAGGCTCAGAGGTAGAATGGCTGCGTTTTAGGCAGCTAAGAAATAGCTTCACTTCACATGTCAAAAGTGCTAAGTCGAAGTACTATTTGTCAGTTACCACAGAAAACCTAAATAATCCTAGGACATTTTGGAAAGCCATAAAATCGCTATCCACCGGTGAGATCCGAAATGAGCTACCTCCGTGCCTTACCACAACATCTGGCTCTATATCGGACAGGGCTACTATGCTAAATTGTTTTAATGAGCATTTTGTGTCTTGCGGTTCTCTGTTTGATTCTGTGACTAACTCTGCTTCTGTGAACACCACAGTCTGTGACTCTGAACAATGTGGTCTGGAAAACACTTTCAGTTTTACTCCTTTTACTGTTGATGTTGTTCATGAAGCTTTATCTAAGTTAGATCCTAAGAAACCGGCCGGCCCGGACAACGTAGAACCTTTCTTTTTAAAGATAGCTGCAGATTTTATTGCTCCACCTCTCACTTCTCTTTTTAACCTCTCCCTCAGCACAAACACAATTCCTAAAGTATGGAAGTCAGCTTATGTCCTGCCTTTGCTGAAAGGAGGGGAGGCAACTGTTTTAAATAACTATAGGCCAATCTCTTAATTGTCAGTTCTGGCTAAGGTTCTTGAACGCCTAGTGAGTGAACAGGTAAAGGAGTTTTTATGTACAAATGACATCCTGTCTAAACATCAGTCAGGCTTCAGAAAGCAACATAGCACCATCACTGCCACAATGAAAGTGGTGAATGACATTACAAGTATTTTAGATAAAAAGCAGAGTTGTGCAGCTCTATTTATTGACCTTTCCAAAGCGTTTGATACCGTCGATCATCGCATCTTAAAGCAGAGGCTACTCAGTATTGGCTTATCCAGCCATGCAGTGGGGTGGTTTGTGAACTACCTCTCTGAAAGGTCCCAATGTGTTCATTTTGATGGGCTGTCTTCTGAGTGGTTGAACATTGCTAATGGTGTTCCTCAAGGTTCTGTTTTAGGTCCACTTTTATTCTCCATCTACATCAATAGTTTAGGTGAAAATGTGGATGAAGCTACTTTGCATTTTTATGCGGATGACACCGTGATGTATTGTGCAGGTCCCTCCATTAAGGAGGCGGTTGTTAAATTACAGGCTGTTTTTAACATTATTCAGACTCAGCTCTCTGAACTAAAGCTTCTTTTAAATGTTGAGAAAACCAAGGTAATGCTCTTTTCTAAAGCTAAAAACAAAAAGACTCCAGAGACTGCTTTGGATATTGTGACTATGCAAGGACAAGTACTCCAAGTGGTTAGCTGTTATAAATACCTTGGTATCTGGCTTGATGATTGTCTTACTTTTAAACTTCATGTCATTAATCTGCTTAAAAAGCTGAGGGTTAGATTAGGTTTCTTTTTCAGAAACAAGTCCTGTTTCTCTTTTGAAGCCAGGAAAAGTCACTGTGACCTTTTGACCTGTGCTGGACTATGGTGATTTGATCTATATGAATGCACCTGCCCATTGCCTGGAAAGGTTAGATGCCGCCTATCACAGTGCTCTGAGATTTGTTACTAACTGTAAAGTACTTACTCATCACTGTACCCTGTATGCCAAGGCAGGTCTGCCTTCACTTACTGGTCGGAGGCTCAGTCATTGGTACATGTTCATCTACAAAGCCATGCTGGGTAAACTCCCTTCTTATATCTGCTCTCTGATCTCACGGAGAGTGCCAAGTAGCTATTGCCTGAGATCACAGGATGTGTTTTTATTACATGTGCAAAGTGCTAGGACTGTTCTAGGTACTAAAGCTTTTATGTGCGCTGCTCCTCTGGCTTGGAACACCATGCAAAAAATATTGAAACTGAGCATTTTGATTCCCTTGCATCGTTTTAAAGCACGGCTGGATGACATGTTATTGGATACCTGTCAATGTAAATAGGTTGCTAATGTATACCCCTGTAATTATGTTGTGATGTCCTTTTGTTTTCTGTTTGTTTTTATGTGTAACTCAATGTACCGCAGGTCTCCCTTGAAAAAGAGATCGTTGATCTCAATGGGATTTTTTAACCTGGTTAAATAAAGGCTACAAACAAAACAAACAGAGCGTCAAAATAAAAGCATGCAATGTGTTCATTTACAGTGTGGCAAATTATGAAACTGTGTAATAGCAAAGCAGTTTATAACTCTATTCAAATTAAAGCATTTATACTATACTGTTTATATTGTAATGTACATATTTTTACATATTTATTGTTGTTTTGAATTGTGGTACACGATGGCACATATTTCTTGTTGTTTTTACTTTACTAAAAAATAAAATGTTAATTTATTTTGTTGTTATTTTACTTTATTTGCGACCAAATCCATTTTCCTCACAGGAATGTTTGTATTTCTGATTTTACATTTATAGTAACTTTATAATAACAATAGAAAGTCCACAAAAAACTCAAAACCTGACTTTTTATCTCTCACAAAAAAAAAGAAAAAAAAAATGTAAGGAGTTTTAGCTGAATGCATTTGCTCTGAAAGCAAACAGTTGTTACTAAAACATGAACACATATTAGTTTTTGCTTTTCAGCATTGTACATAACAGCTAAACTGTTAAAAAGAACATGTATCGTGCAGTGGTCCGCTCTGTACCTGCAGCAAGTGGCTCTTGTCCGCGTATCCTTTGATGAATAACCAATACAGAGTGGTGGCTAAACTGGGGCCGGGCAGATCATCGATGCTCTTCGTTTTCCCAGCCTCGATGTCGGCCTGGAGGTTCAGGGTCTGGTTCAGGCCTGAAGAGCCCCGGGAACGGAGCTCCACACCGGGCCGAGCAGCAGGAAGTGTCCGGGGACAGAGAGCCTGGAGCCGGAGAGCCCGGGTTGTCGAAGAACCCATGGTGGAAGAATCTGTGAGTGACTGTGAGAGTGTGAGTGTGTGTGTGTGTGTGTGTGTGTGTGTGTGTGTGTGTGTGTGTGTGTGTGTGTGTGTGTGTGTGTGTGTGTGTGTGTGTGTGTGTGTGTGTGTATCCCCCTGCGGGAAATCAATTAGTTACTGTAGTAGGTTACTGTGTAAAAAGATAATCTGATTTGAATGCAAATAATTATGCAAATGAGAACTGTCTTTTTAAAATGTATTTCACTTTCAGATATCATATTACCAAGTATATAATATCATACAAATATTGAAATATAACATCCTGCATTTAGCATTTGAATCATGTCAACAAGTATCTAATAAAAACATAAAATGCACACATAAGAGCATTATAAACCACAAGATTACAATTATTTAATTGAATAAAAGTCAAATTCAAGCGATTTTCGGTAATATGTTGACACAAATATATATATATATATAAATAAACACAGAACATCCTGCAATAGGAATAGGAACTACTCTGTAATTCATTCATACACATGTACAATTTTTTATATTCCTTTTAATGTATACTTTATATACATTTACAGGTAATGCAGTGTTTTAAGTAACTTGATAACACAGACTTGAAGTAACAGTTATACATTAAACTACTAGGTATTACTAAAATAGTGTGTCTGCCTTCGAGCTAGTGGAGTTAATACATTTTTTAACATGTATCCTGTCTTTATTTCACCGTAATATGAGTCATATTTCAATGTAAACTGGTCGGTAAAAGGCCTCAGTGAAAATGTATATTAATGGCACTATGTTCAGAAAGTGTGTATTAACGCCCTCTTGTGGTCACAGTGAGTTACTGCAGCTTCATTTCTGTCAAGCTAGAGGAATTGCATATTACATACCACTTCCTGTAACATCCTACAAAATAAAACATTGTATGTAACAGACAGAAGTGTATTTTAGTTTTTAAAACGTTCAATTTTACTTTACGGCTTTATCTGACTGCAGGGTATTGTAGTCAACTTTATACAGCAACGTATCACATCTTCTAACTCTACTCACTAAGCGGGAAGACATTGCATTTGAAGGAAACAGTTCGTTTAGCTTCTGCTAATGTTGTGTGCTAATCATACGGTGGCCGAGACGCGCTGAAAACACATACGGCTAACACATAGAGCTAAGGTAATCGGGAGACTCGAGGGAGTAACTGAGAGCTAGGTAGTTAATACACGTTTTAACATGTATCCTGTCTTTATTTCGCCGTATTATGAGTCATATTTCAATGTAAATTGGACGATAAAACGCAAGAAGATGTGCATATTACATACCACTTCCTGTAACATCCTTCAAAATAAAACTCTTTATAATGGAACAGAACGAGTCAACTTGATGTACTATTACTTTTATTACTGATTGTATTTCACTTTAGCTAGCTTATTATAAACTAGATCTGTCGTTGGATATATATTTGAACAACTGTAATAAATAAAGCAGAGGTTCGCTTGCTTTAATTTCATTTTAGCTTAACCTGATAGCATTGGTTACATCCGGGTCTTACCCTGATAAGGATGCATTGGTTACATCCGGGTCCCTTTGTTGTTGCTAGAATAGGGTTTATTGTGTTTCTCATCATGTTGACTCCACTAGCATGAACTCTGACACAACTGTAAAGTTATACTGTCGATAAAACGTGCAAATTAAAACTACGTTTTATTTTGGAAGGTCAGGGTTAACAGGAAGTCTTGTGCAACTCCTCTAACTTGATAATGGAGTTGTAGTTACCGACTGTGGCCAGAAGAGGGCGCCAAAGCTCCTCGCTAAATGTTACCATGGACTGGGTGTTATGTGATAATGACTTTATCTAGTTTACTAATATTGTATATGTTACTGTTTCTTTTTTAACAGCAAGAAAATAACCAGAACCAATGTTTGAAGCTCTCAGTTAGTCCCTCGAGTCTCCCGGTTACTTTAGTGTTATTAGCCGTATGTGTTTTCAGCGCGTTGAGCCCTCTCCGCCACCGTATGATTAGCACACAACATTAGCCGAAGCTAAACGAACTGTTTCCATCAAATAAAATGTCTTCCCGCTTAGTGAACAGAGTTGGAAGATGTGATACGTTTCTGTATCAAGTTGAGTACAATACCGTGCAGTCAGATAAAGTCGTAAAGTAAAATTGAGAGTTTAAAAAACTAAAATACACTTCCGTCTGTTATAGAACATGTTTTATTTTGAAGGATGTTACAGGAAGTGGTATGTAATATGCAATTCCTCTAGCTTGACAGAAATTAAGCTGCAGTAACTCACCGTGACCGCAAGAGGGCGTTAATACCCACTTTCTGAACATAGTGCCTTTAATATACATTTTCACTGAGGCCTTTTACCGACCGATTTACATTTAAATATGACTCATATTACGAAGAACAAACTAAATAATGTTAAAATATGTATTTATACCACTAGCACGAGGGCAGACACACTATCTGAGTGACACACAATAGTTTAATGTATAACTTTTAATTAGTTAGTTACAGTATAGCTTTTCTCAGAAAACCGAGACTTTCTCTAGTAAAGTTAGACACTGTATAAAAGCATTCCACTTCCGGTGAAGACTTACAAAATAAAGGCTTCTAAATATGTATATTTTGTATTTATTTATTTTGTTCCAACAGAACATGGATATATATATACATCTTTACTGGATCACTGGATGATGGTGATCGGATTGGAAGGAGCAGGCCTCAAATCCAGCGTCACGCTACCGCCTTCCTTGGTGAACTTCTCCTCCACAGTAGAAGCAGAGCTAAGAGAGGCCAAACACAGCAGAGAGGAGAGGAGAGGAGAAATCTTTGCATGAAACAAAAACACAATGACACAAAAAGGTGAAATAAATATCTTTTTATTGTTTGTCCATCCTCATAATTGCCCTAATTATGAACACGTGTGTCGCAACACTCCAGGATTTTGCCTAAAAACAGCAACCATTCGACGGCACCGCTGCGTCTCTCAGGACACAACCATGCATAAAATCTCCCATTTAAAAACAAGTAAAATAAAAAATATATATTAAAAAATTATGCGTACCACTGATATACAGATCTGATATAAACAGGCGTATTGGTCACAAACCAATCAGAATTATAAACATGGCTTATTTTACATTAGACTGAACAAACATGTGGGATATAAGTGGACTTTGCTTTTTTAAAAAGGGTACATTTTTAGTTTTTACATTTGTACATGATTATGTTTTTTCATTATTATTTTAATGTTCTCACCTCCTACAGTCTATACACACATATATACACACACACACAGTCTCTCTTTCTCACACACACACTCAGTCACACAGTCTCTCTTTCTCACACACACACTCAGTCACACAGTCTCACACACAGTCTCTCTTTCTCACACACACACTCAGATCCACAGTCAGCTCTCTTCTCACACCACTAACACTCAGTCACATCAGTCTCACACACAGTCTCTCCTTTCTAACACACACACTCAGTCACACAGTCCTCACACACAGTCCGCTCTTCTCACACACACAGTCTCTCTTTTCTCACACACACACACTCAGATCACACACAACACTCAGTGAAATTCAACAACACCTCAGTCACACAACACACTCAGTCACAACACACACACCACCACACCACAACACACACACACACACACACACACCACACCACACACACACACACACACACCAGCACACACACACACACACACACACACACCACACACACACACACACACACACACACAAAAAAAACAAAAAAACACACACCACACACAAACACACCACCACACCACAACCACACACACACACACACACACAGTCACACAGTCACACAGGTCTATCTTTTCTCACACACACAGTCTTCTTTCTACACCACACACACTCAGTCCACACACACCACACACACAGTCTCTCTTTCTCACACACACAGTCTCTCTTTCTCACACACACACAGTCTCTCTTTCTCACACACGCACACACAGTCTCACACACAGTCTCACACAGTCTCTCTTTCTCACACACACACTCAGTCTCACACACACACACAGTCACACACACACAGTCTCTCTTTCTCACACACACAGTCACACACAGTCTCTCACACACACACACACACACAGTCTCTCACACACACACACACAGTCACACAGTCTCACACACACACACAGTCACACACACAGTCACACACACAGTCTCACACACACAGTCACACACACACACAGTCACACACACAGTCTCACACACAGTCTCACACACAGTCTCACACACACACACAGGAGTGGTAGCAGTGGCTTTAGACTCTAAAGAGAACTACAGGTGTATCTTTGCAGGTGACAAATACTGGTACCGAGGAGTTAATCCACAGTGGTGAACGAGGCCATCTGACGGTTAAAAAAAAAAAAAAAACACATTACATTCATGTTTTGAGTCTTTGCAAACACACACACACACACACACACACACACACATTCACTCTCAATCACACTTGTGTAAAAATAAAAAATATTCTTTAAAATGTGCAAAGAAAAGGTCGCTGAGCGGAGATGCACGAGCGACAGCCGGCGAGGAATCGTGAAAAGCATCAGTGATTTAAAGATAGTGCATCGTGGAAGTGCGTATCAGTGCTGGCGGCTGAACGACAGACGCGGATGTTTTAGCAAATCAAGAGTCGTTTCGACTTCGTTTTGGACATGTACCGTTTTTTTTTTGATCAGCTGATCACAAACTGAACATTTACTACAGAAGAGCCTTTCGAGGAACTAAAGACTCACTGTGGGTCGTAAACATGAATAAACCGTCTGCTTTTAAAAAGGTGCAATCAGCTCTTTACTGACTTCTAGTGGCCGCTGCAGGAAACTACAACGACAAACATAATTCCACATTTGACCAAATTAGAAATGTCGTATAGTACCAAACTACAACGATCTGTGACTGAGTACCAAAGACAGACCGAACACAGAAGCATTACGTACCGTTACACAGCTATTTACCTCCACAACCGTACATACCATAACAAAAATATAACCGTCTTTCTGTATTGTCTTATTGTGGCTGTAATTAAATACTGATTGCACCTTTCAACGAGCCGAAAACTCTGCACAACCACTCTGGATTTAACCGAACGGACCTTTACATGTTGGCGTTTATAATCCGGTGCATAGTTATGAAGCCAGAGCTATGCACTTATATTATTTAACAGACAGACAGACGTTATAATAGAAATGTGTAACAGAACGAGTTGAACGGAGTGTTTGAAGTGATGAATGAACATCAGATTTGAAAGTCTGTAGGAGTGCATGTGAGGAGGAGACACTTGTTCATGGACCTAAAACTAAAAAAGCAGCGTTTGAGATGTTGGAAATAAAACCAACGACAGCGTCATGCAGCCAGACCTGCGGCCAATCAGCTGTGAGCTTCTATTAAAACACGCCTCCGTCTCTCCTGCTTCACAAAATCAAGAGCTTCATCACGGCAGAGTTACAGAGAGTCTACGTAACGACAAACCCTCTTTTCTTAGCAAGATTTTACCTGATTTTAATATTACATTTAGTTGATTTCAGGGCTTCGAATGGTGAAAATCCATAAGATAGTTAATTTATCTTAATAAATGAGTGAAAGGAAGTGTGATATTGTCATAAATCTTGTGCAATCTGCTCGTGGTTTAGCTAGGTGAGGAAGTGCTGGATATAGTCGATGTTCTTGCATGGATTTACTTCTCTATATTGAAGTATTTTAACACCGACCAAAGTCAAAGACAAGACAGGATTTAAAAGTTAGTTCTTTAGTTCAGTTATCGACCAAACTAAATATTAATTCATGGCGCTAAAACGACTGCACGAGTATCAGAGAAGCTCCAACGTTACCCCTGATCTGCCGTGATGAGAGCTCCCTAAATGTGATCAGTGAATACTTTGAGAAGCAGAGGAGAGGAGAGTTCATTGGAAGAGAGAACCAATCAGCTGGTAGATCACAGCGACAGTTCCATATTAAAACAGAAAGTCTGAATATTTGGTTACCAGTTACAGAAAAAAGGCAGAAACGGACGTTACGCTGAACTGGGATCAGCTGGCTAACGGTGTGAAGGCAAAGCAACAGTCACTCCTATACACAGCGTTAAAACAGAAAAGGCACACGGCGAAGATGAAGAAGGAGGAAGAGGAGGGATAGCAGAACGAAGACAGTGAAGCTGAGAGACAGAAAGGTGGGGGGGAAACCTCTGCATCGTTTAGAGACTACATTCAGCCAGATGAAGGGGAGGGGGGGGGCACTCAAGAGCCAGAAATCACTTCCTGTAGGTCCACAACACCGACACCATCGAAGAGAGAAACCGTACAAACATAAAAAAGTTTTCCAAATAGTCGTCGCGTCACGAGGAAGTGCTCCGCTCCTCGGAGAAATTAAGGTGCAACTTGCGGAGAAAACTAAAATATAAACGTCCTCTATGGCAGCCTCATAAAAACAGAGACACGAGGAGCAGGTACCTCCCCCCCCCATCAAACTCCACAAACACCTTCTTCCAGACTCCTGGTCCAATAAGGTTTCAGCGTGGTGGAGGGGGCGGGGTCAGAGGCAGGGACGCCCAATCACGTAAGGCCGTTTCTGGCAGTTAATGTACAAAGATGTGCCTCAGGAGCTCGTCAGCTGACGGCCGCTGCTTAGACTCTACGAAGATGCGTTTGAGGAACTCTCTGCAGTGGTCCGACACGTGGGGGGGGAGGATTGGGTTGGTGGGCTGCGTGGCGATTTTAAAGATGGCCGCCATGGCCTCAAACTCCGCCCACGGGGGTCGCTGCGTCAGCATCTCCACCACCGTGCAGCCGACACTCCTGAGGGGGGGGGGGGGGGGGGGAGACAGTCAGAACAAGTGGAACAAAATGTGTATCTAAATGTATGTGTAACTCACAGAGCATCTGAGCCCCTAAGAGGCCTGACACAAGGATGAAGTGGCTGTTGGTGGATTTAAATGCCAACAAAGACAGCACGTCACAGAAACAGCTCAGGCTGATCAGGACTGGAGGATTCTCTCACCAGATGTCTGCCTTCCTGCCGTAGCCCTCTCCGCTGATCACCTCCGGACTCATCCAGTACGGGGTGCCCGTCACCGACATGATGCCTGTTCCCGACAGACAGATGGTCTGCAGACGCCGACTGGCCCCGAAGTCACCAAGCTTCACGTTACCCACCGAGTCTCGCAGGATGTTGGCCCCTGAGAGGAGAAGATGGGAGAGGAGAGAGGAGAGGAGATGAGGAGAGAGGAGAGGAGACGAGACGAGAGGAGAGGAGAGGTGAGGAGGAGAGAGGAGAGGAGATGAGGAGAGAGGAGAGGAGAGGAGAAGATAGGAGAGGAGAGAGGAGAGGAGATGAGGAGAGAGGAGATGTTCGTACTTTTTATTGTTTTAGGCATTTCGGACAGACAAACTTAAGATGTACAATTACTATGTCTTGAAAAAACACTGTAATTGTTTGCTGCTGAATGTCAATACAAAATCAATCAGTGGTCTAGCTCACCTTTGACGTCTCTGTGCACGATCATGTTGCTGTGCAGGTAGGACACGCCCTCCAGGATCTGACGCGTGTAGCGCCGCGTCACGTTTTCCGTCAGCGCTCCGTACGACTTCAGCTGGTCCTTGATGGAGCCCTGAGGTCCACCACATGATAGAAATGCATGTGAGCGACACAAATGTCTTTGGACGAGCGTCAAGCAAGATTGAAGCAGGGGATTCATCCTAATTACTTTAAAGAATGATGAATAAAACAATCCTAATTTAAATAAAGTAGAGTATCCCTTACGCCCGGCATGTACTCCATGAAGATGGACAGCGTTCTCTCCATGGTGTCTCGCAGGCAGCCGTAATACTGGACGATCCGCTCGTGGCACAAATTCTTCAGGAGCTGGATTTCACACTCCAGCGCGCTCACCTCCTGAACGACCGAAAAACAGGATAATGATTGACTGTATTGCCAGAAATCTACTTTTACTCACAGAACATGCTCCATCTCTTAGCCAGCCAAACTACTACTCAAGCAGCATGCCATCATCTATGGAACATTTGCATTCAGGAGAACCAACGATAAAAAGAACGGCTCTTTGGTACGACTCGGTTCCCTTCGTTCGTACCACAGAGCCGTTCAAAAGAATCGTATCGTTCGCGAACGTAACATCACTACTCTCTCAGACTCTCACCTTGCTGGTCTCCGGACTCTCCGGGTCAAACTGGACCTGTTTGACCGCCAGCTCTCGTCCAGTGTCAGCATCATAGCAGAGGAAAACCCGCCCGAACGCCCCCTGACCCAGAAGCTTCCCGAGACGCCAGTTTGTTGGGGCGCGTGGAGCTGCAGACGTAGAAACATCAGATATCATTTCATTTGTATTTGTTCATGGTATGGAGAGGAGAGGAAGAGGAGAGGAGAGGAAGAGGAGAGGAGAGGAAGAGGAGAGGAGAGGAGAGGAGAGGAGAGGAAGAGGAAGAGGAAGAGGAAAGGAGAGAGGAGAGGAGAGGAGAGGAGAGGAAGAGGAAAGGAAGAGGAGAGGAAGAGGAAAGGAAGAGGAGAGGAGAGGAGAGGAGAGGAAAGGAGAGGAGAGGAGAGGAGAGGAGAGGAGAGGAGAGGAGAGGAGAGGAGAGGAGAGGAGAGGAAAGGAGAGGAGAGGAGAGGAGAGGAGAGGAAAGGAAGGAAGAGGAAAGGAAGAGGAAAGGAAGAGGAAAGGAAGAGGAGAGGAGAGAGGAGAGGAGAGGAGAGGAGAGGAGAGGAGAGGAGAGGAGAGGAGAGGAGAGGAGAGGAGAGGAGAGGAATTGAGCCGCCACACAGATAATAAAACCACTGGTGGAACATAAACGGATAAGAGGCGACAGATACGATCTAAATGAACTCACAGCGGCTGGGGGGGCTGATGTCCATCACGGAGAGGCTGGGAGCTGAGGGGTTGAGGTTGGGCTCGATGTCGCTGCCTCTCCTCGGCCTCCTGCCGGGCCCCGGGGCCTCCTCCAGGTCCGGAGTGAACACGCTGCTGCTGCCGCTGCTGGTGCTCGGAGACTGATCCGTCGGGCTGAAGCTCACCGGAGAGCGGAAACCGTGAACCTGCGTCCGCCGAGCCCGAGGGAACGTCTTCCTCCCTGAAGAGGAAGAGGAGGAGGAGACATCAGACTCAGGAGCAGAAGCCAAAGAAACGATTAGATTGTTATCATGAAGAATCAGAATCAGAAGATAAACACACTCACCATCACTGTAGTCCTGAAGGCTGAAGGGAATGCCGTATCGTCGGGGGTACGTTCCTCCTTTCCCCGACTTCTCAAACACTGGGATGTCGTACTCTAGAGAGGATGAGGAGGACGATGAAGAACACACTGGCAGTATTTTGGATTTACAAAGTCCAGCCTAGAAGTCGAGTCTATTTTGTTGTATTCATCAGTTTTTAAAAAGATGTCTTTACCTGGGAAGTCCTGGTGGTTGTCTGGATAGCTCTGTGCTCGGGGCATCCTGGACTTCGGGTAATCACTGCACAACAAAATAAATATATATCTTAGCGTACATAGGAACTAATGTGATCTGCAGATATGCAATATTTAACAACTGCCTGACTCTAGTAATTAGTCAGGGCTGCACAATATAATGTTATAGGTTTTCTTTATTCTCTCACTGTATGAATAAAATACTGATATCCTTACCTGTCCAGCGGGCTGTCTAAAGACGGACAACTTCCCGACGCAGAGTTTTCTGGACTGCTCATAGACAGAGGATCGAGCATCTGAAGAAAATGAAGACATTCAGAAAAAAACAAACTCACATACTGTAAACCTAATCAACGAAGTCTTTACCACCAAGCGTTCTGACTATAGTACCTGGTCCATGCTCTCAGGGATGAACTCTCCCTCGCTGTTGATGCTGGTGAAGGAGCCGTTCCTCGCCACCTGCTGGAGCGCGTCGGGAATGTACCCTGGAGGAGGGGAGCTGCGGTCCGTCGAATGGGGGCCTGGGGACGGTTAAAGAGGCATATTTGAGTTATTATTCATGTCTAATGGATTACCAATGTTGCTTCAGTCTGACCCGGAGACATTATTCACCTATTAAAGCTAGCATGTTCTTTTCAGCGACCCTGAATCCCGTGTTGTCCAGCTTCTCATGGGACGGCATGCGGTCCATATTGGAGGAAGAGTTCTGAACAAACAGAAAGAAAACAGGCTTTCAAATCATGAGACAGAAGACTTAATTGATTGCTAGTACTCTTATCAAAAAGGGAGACACAGCTTCAGAGGTATAGCTAGCTTCAAGTGTTCAATGGCATACAGTGTGGTTAAAACTTAATTGCTTTTATTTGTTCTATTCTAACACAAAAAACAAAGCTGCAGGGATGCTGTTAAGCTTAGTATTTAACTTCATTGTAGAGTGTTTCCCCTGGTGTTTGAATAAGTGGCTCACCTGAGAGGAGAACTGGACTACCAGGAGGATCTTCAGGCTCTTCATGTGAACGCTGCGATCCAGCAGCTCCACGGCCTTATCCAGGTCTTCCTGAGTGGTCAGTGGAATCACCAACTGCAAGAAGAAACAACACGGTTTGTTTTAGATATCAATATCTGTAGATTCTTTCATAATTCACGATCAGTATTTGTGTGTATATGTACTTCGTTGTTGGTGTAGTGAAGGTCCATCGTCTGACCGAAAGCCACTTTAGCTTTCGCCCTCAGGTCGTCCAGCTGCACAGGTCGAGGGAACTGTAAGATCCTGCAGAGAACAAGAAGAGGTCAGAGGTCAGGAAGGCAGTCGGTACAGGTCTGCTCTGACATTAAAGTGAAGAAGCTGCTCAGAGACTCACCTCTTCTCCCCTTTGAACTCGAACTTCACTCTGACATCATTCTGTTGGAAAGACAGTCGCGTTAAAATCATATCTGATGATGAACAGTGAGACGTACATCAGACTACAGACGGTCTCATCTTTCTCTAATTAGAGCCCTGTTTTCTTCACTTAAAATGCATTTCTGACGCAGCGTTCACCTGGTTTTTGGGCGAGGAAGCTTTGGGTTTGCCCAGGTCCGACAGGAACATGGCAGGACGGCTGGAGCGGTGCAGTTCGGCCAAGTCCTGCATGATCGAGTTCAGCGCCTCCTGCTCATCTGAGGGGACACAAGAGTTCAGTTTATTAAACTCTGATTTAAGATGATGTAACTCAGGTTGGAAAGTAAGGCCTAGAAATCCAGTTCACATTCAAAGCTGTGCTCTTGCAAATACCTTCAAATCACTTTTATTATCTTTTCTGAACTGCAGCAGTAACATGTTTTATGGCACTTACATAGAAGTACGTAACACAAGTCTTGAGGCAAAAATGTCAAAGAAGTCATTGTTCGGGGAGAAAAAAAACATTCCTTGGAGGTGAAAGTTTGACAAAAGATGAAGCTGGCTTACTGCCAAACAGTAACACTATCTTAAAATGCACACACACACACACACACACACACACATACATACATACATACATACCCATCATCATGGCACGGCGATTGACCCAGGAGGCCAGGAAAGAGGATTCTCCCATCAAAGGGATTCCTTTCTCCTGCAACAGCACAAGGACAACATCAGTCCTGTCATGCAGCTGATCAGCACACAAGTTAGGGCCTGAAGGTGCAGGCTGATAAGCACATCTGGAAACAGAGACTCTCTGCTACACAGAGCTCAGCAGTATGGAAAAACAATTGTCACAACAGCTGAAAGATTATCAGATTTTCTGCCATACTATTTAGAATGTACTAGCCAGTGTTCAATGTGGCAAATCAGTGATTAGCGCTAATTGTTTGCAATGTTTATGGGTTTTATTTCCACAACAAGTTTCTTAATTGACTTTCCAGAAGAAATTGTTATCAAGATGCACTCAGTTGACTTTTTATCAGATCCCTGTAGCTTAAAATGAGTCTGCTTAACAGCCCTGCAATAAATCCCTATCTTCATGAGGAATACAACGTTCAGTTTGGATCAAGCTGTTTTAGAGAGGTGCTTAAGATTTATGGTCACTTTGGAGGCTGAAGTTCATGGAGCAGGGCCGCTCATACGACTTCTAATATTTTTCTTTAAAACGATGTATTTAAACAAGGTTAGATAATCAGTTTTAACTCGGTGTGGCTAATAAACTAAAAGGCTGACTGGTGTTTGCACCAATATTTCAACATACAATGACATGTGATAGAGAGAGAGCAGTGGGGAAGTGAAGAAGTTGTAGCATCAACACTTTGATACAACTTAAAAGCAATACAATGATTGAAGATTTAAAGCATCCATCCAGCATTACTTTTGCTCATTCATCAAGAGTTGACACAATATTTTTAAATGATATTAGTGTGTAAGTCGTGATGCATCATTTCAGACAGAAGCTGTTTATCACTCAGAGGTTTAAAATGAGAGTCTGAGACCAACACTGATTGCAAGTGACAGAATATGTCTGTCACGTTGATGACAGGGGGCTTGACAACAATATTTGCTTAGCACTTAACATTATTCTAACAAAATACGTCCTTTGCAAACCACTGTGGCTGGCTAGCTAGTAAGCTAATGTCACTTGTCTCAGTAAAGTTGATACCAACAACATACCGCTGTGATGGCCTCCTGTGGAAGATAATTAGCTTTAAATCAACTTGCTAGCTATGTAGCCCCGCATGCTATAAAATGCACTAACAACTGTTGCTAGCTAATTTCCCACTTACGCCAAAATGTGCTTGATAAACGATCTTGAAATAGAAATATAACACATAATAGGTAAACAATGTTAGCTGAAAAGGAAGCTAAGTGGCTAATGCTAACCGAGAGTTCCTAGCTGTCAGGCCAGGGAAGTTGTCAAGCTAAGCTAATGCTAAAGTAGCTATTCAAGGCTCTCCCGCACCGTTAAAAACAACCGTTAACCGTGAGAAAGGGTCGGTGTTATCTCTATCGTCTTACCTGGCGGTCGGTTATCTTCGTGTTCACGTCCACATCCACAGGGCCGGTGACAGGAGCCCCGAGCCCCGCGGAGAGCCGCTGGAGGAAAAGCAGAAGTTTGGCTCCAACTCGAGTCCTGCTGGGCCACGACGACCAGGCCCAACGGCTGTCAGTTCAACCGGCTGTTTCCAGGCAGAACAACGACAAGATAGCGGTTTATCCAACAAAGTATCTCCGTGTCTGCGAGCAAATGGGAAAAGTTAACTGACAGCTTTCATTTTGTTGCACTTTACAACCTGGATGACGGTAGCTTCGCTCGCTGTTTCCCCCCCAAGTTGCGTTAACGAACTAACGGTAACCGGAAGTAAGGTGGTTGTGTTTACAGAATAAAATACAAACGGTCTTGCGCTTGCGAAAACATAGTTTGTATTTTATTTTGAAAGTTGTTAACCGGAAATGATAGTTGTTATTTTGGCACACTTCACAGGTCTTAACGGTCTTAACCCCCCGACCTCGTTGGAGGACTCCAACAAAAACACAACCTGTGATGTCAGAGACATGTATTAGTTTCCTGTAGGACGATTTAATTAGGTCAAATAAATACATTTGATAGGGTACACACACACACACACACACACACACACACACACACACACACACACACACACACACACACACACACACACACACACACACACACACACACACACACACACACACACACACACACACACACACACACACACACACACACACACACACACACACACACACACACACACACACACACACACACACACACACACTCTTCATGTTGCCACACATTAATGAAGCATTGACATGTCATTCATTTGATGCCTTACCCTAAATGTAATATCAAAGTAAGTCAACATTGCTACCACCATGTCTAATAATAGCCTATCTGGATCAGTATACTTTAATTGATTAAACCCATTTATTTAATGGAGGCTGAAGTTGTGTACAAAACATTCCTCCATGCTTCCTTTCAAAAGGAGTCTTACTTTGAAAGAAGTGATTCCCTACGTCACTTCCTGTTAATGTAGACTTCTCATAACATCCAGCTAGAGCTGCGACTGAAAGCTAACGCTATCTATTGTCACTATATCTTAACAACATAAACAGAGGGACAACATGTCAGATACGGTAAGATATACACTTGACATAGCAGGTATTGTTTATAGTCTGGATCAAATTCACAAAGAGATAAATCAGTGTTTTGCTACCTCGTATCTGGCTATTTAAAATGCTAACTGCTAGCTCGTTTCAGGCCCAGAACTGCTTACTTAGCTGCTTAGCTTAGCAACTAGCTTTCCTTTAGTTCAGTTCACAGTTCAGCTTTAAAACAAGAAGCGGTACCAGCATTTTTAAACCAAAATATTCACACATGTGGGTTACAGTGTCGTTAAAGCGAAACCAAGCCATCGGGCCTGTTTGTAATGTGTGTGGCGTTTACATGTTGTCTGCTGCTCAAGTTGTTTTTGTCTGTGTGTTGTTGATGTTTTATAGGAGACAAAACCATCCAGCCAAGATGGAGGAGATAAGAAGGATGGAGAGTACATCAAATTAAAAGTCATCGGTCAGGTGTGGGAGGGAGGAGGAACAGAGAAGAGATGAGAGAGAGGAGAAGAGCAGAAGAGGGCGGCAAAAGGGGGGGGGGCAGGACGGGCGGAAGAAAAGAGGGAGCAAGAGGGGGGGGGGAACGACGAACGAGGAGGAACACGACGACGACGGACACCAAACGACGAGGACGACGACGACGACGAGGACACCCGACGACGACGACGAGGACGACAACGACGACGACGAGGACGACACCGACGACGACGACGACGACACCGAGGACGAGACGACGACGACGACGACGACGACGACGAGACGACGACGACGACGACCACGACGACGACACGACAACGACGACGACGACGACACCACCGACGACGACGACGACCACGACGACGACGACGAAGACACACGAGGACGACGACGACGACGACGACGACGAAGACACCGAGGACGACGACGACGACGAAGACACCGACAACGACGACGAGGACGACGACCACGACGACGACGACACCACCGACGACAACGACGACGACGACACCACCGACGACGACAACGAACGACGGACGACGACGACGACACCGATGGACGACTAGACGAGACGCGAAGACACCGAGGACGACGACGAAGACACCGACCAACGACGACGAGGACGACGACCACTGACGACGACGACGACCACGACGACGACAAACGACGACGACGACACCACCGACGACAACGACGACGACGGACACCACCTACGACGACGTACGACCACTACTACACCTACAACTACTACTACTACCACTGATTACCACTACTACTATTACTACTACTACTACTACAACTACTACTACACCTACAACTACTACTACAACTACTACTACCAATACACCTAATACTACTACAATCATTTGTGTTCTGTTAAAATAATTGTATGTGTGCTTACTTCTTCTCTGTGGAAATAAAGTTCCTAAGACATTTATAGAAAACCATGCTGGCATGTTTTACTGCTTCTCACCATCACTTTCTGCCAACAGGACAGCAGCGAAATCCACTTTAAGGTCAAAATGACGACACATCTGAAGAAGCTGAAGGAGTCTTACAGCCAGAGACAGGTCAGAGGACAGAGCAAGATAACAGAAACCACTCCTTGTTGTGAAATCATATCATGTTGATCCCCGTCGTAAACAAAGCACAGAGAGGATTTAACAAGCTTTCTCTGGTGTGTGTCGTTGTGTTTCTCACAGGGTGTTCCAGCAAGCACGCTAAGGTTTCTGTTTGAAGGACAGAGAATCGCAGACAACCAAACTCCCAAAGAGGTAAACGTGTCTCACGACTCGAGCAACACAGCTGGCCTTTTGCTAAAATGTCCATTAATCCAGAGTGTTATGTGTTTGTTATGTTAGTTTTATAATGCTTACACACTTTTAAACCATCTGGGACTTTTACATCGTGATTTAGCTTAGAAATGAAGTAAAAACAAACGAGAAGGTTTTGTCAACGCGTTGTCAATAAATAGTAGAAGATAGATAGATTTTGACTGTTACTGAAACATGTCTGTTATTTCTCAGCTGGGGATGGAAGACGAGGACGTAATCGAGGTTTATCAAGAACAGACGGGCGGACTTTGGAAAGATTAAACCCCCTGCGTTTCAAATGTTTCTTTTTTGTATTTGATTTTGTATGTATGTATGTACGTATCTTTGTTCAGTTTCAAACCATCTGGATCAAAACTGACTCTTATCAGGGCTTCCATGTTTGAAGGGGCAGCGAGGGGAACAGACTGAGGGATGCTAATGTTGTTGACCTGAGAAAAAGCATTCAAAGTGAGTGCCTGTGACCTCAGATTCTCATCGACATAACCACGTACGTAACAAATAAAAAGCCTTGAGCCCACATTTTACAAAGACAAACATCTTGTTTGTTTTCGGGGGAGCAGATTCTGCGTTAAAGGAAACTGTAAACATCTATTTTTAATTACAAGACAAGTAACGATCGAATATCATACAGCTTTGTTTTACCGTTCACTATAGAATTATACAATTATACAACTAGAAAAATGATAAACAAGCCCCTCCTGTGTAACTTAGGTGCTGACATGTAGAACTTAGGGACCACAAAGGTTAATGGTTAAGCAAACCTTGAGGTGCATTGTGGGGTTTTTCACCTACTGCTTTGAAACAAGGTGCTAGTATTGGACTATTACAGACACGATTTTCATTGTCATAAATACACTGTAGCTATGCACACATGACAACACATTTACCCTGTGGCAGAAAATAGATTTTGGATGCATTCTGTTTTGAAAAGCTTCTGTTCAGGATGTTTAAAAACAAGTTTGCCTGCACTCCTTTTGTTGGGAGGAGTTACCCAGTGAGACGTTGAAATTGTCAATTTAAAGTAGTGATTGGCCTGATGCAGTCATCTTTGAGATAGCTGTGATTTTCTTGTATATGTTGTATTCATAATTAGCGTGTGTTGGAATGATATGCCCCATGTATCTCCAGTGACGTCTTTTATTTACATTTGAGAGGTTCCTTCTGTGCTGATATCTGAATATATACCCGTTATGGAAATGTGTCGCTTGCTGACAGTCACGCTGTGTTATAACCTCGGATGATTCTGTCCTCCAGCAGGAAGTATCTTGCAAACAGTGACATGTTATACTGTGGGGTCAGTAAAGCTTCCCTTTCTGTTTTTGGATTTAAATGCTGTGTTCTGTATGACCTTCCTGCATAGGTGAAGATCACAAGCAACCCCCCCATCTTTGAAATAGATTTATAATGCAAACATTTCAGTTTCAGAAGCATGTCAGCTGTTTACACCGCCATGCATTACGCTCTAGCATCTAAGACGTAGGAATAATCAACTTTTTGAAGCAGGAATTCAGAGATCACAGATCATGTTTTAAATGGTTGTCATTTCCCAGAGGTGTCCTTTTCTTACATTTGATTTTTCAAACCTGACCAAGTGTTTATCATCTCTCCTTCGTGTGTTAGTGATTGGCTCAGGTGATCAGATGACCCCCCCCCCACATACACACACACACACACATTTGAATACTTTATTACTTAGGGGAACACATAGCAGGTCTCCCTTGAAAAAGAGATCAATGATCTCAATGGGATACACCTGGATAAATAAAGGTTTGAAATGAAATAGCATCTCCTTCTCCACACGGCTAAGCAGCAGCCTTAAGGGAACACATAGCATCTCCTTCTCCACACGGCTAAGCAGCAGCCTTAAGGGAACACATAGCATCTCCTTCTCCACACGGCTAAGCAGCAGCCTTAAGGGAACACATAGCATCTCCTTCTCCACACGGCTAAGCAGCAGCCTTAAGGGAACACATAGCATCTCCTTCTCCACACGGCTAAGCAAACAGCAATATTTGAGCCATAACATTAGAGGAACATTGATACAGATGGTTTGAAATTCTGGAGATGAGCTTTTTGCTTTTTTTTGAATAAAATATTTAAGAAAATACTGCTGTGTCTATCTCATTGGGTACTTTCATTCTAGTATGTCTTGTAAAAGTTAGGGTTAGTAATACATTAAGACAGCTGTTTGTGCACACACAACAGGAAGAAACTGAAGTTTGTCCACAACATGCTTTTAGTCTGGATGATTTCAACATTTAAAAAGCACAACACATGGTTCATACTGACGAAAAGTAATCCAGTTTATTACCAAAGCATCATATATGCAAACATCAGGTGAAAACACAAAGAGGAAATGAAGGTTAGCTCGTCCTCAAGTAGTTAAATATGTAAGCAAAACAAAAAACAAAGAATATTTTACATCATAAATGTGCATTTCTCTCTCTCTATATGTCAGTTAAAACAGCTGGCACCTTATGTATTTGAATTATCTTCTAGAAGAACAGCAGTAAAACACGCGTTTGCATTAATTGATGGTACAAGTTGTAGGCAGCTTCACTGTCCTTAGCAGTGAATAAAACAACTGAAAACAATATTTAGAAACAGCTTAGATTGTGGTACAGTATATCAATATATACTGTAGAACAATTTCTACGGATCTTTAATAGCTATGTAAACTCATTATGGCTTCCTTTAAATTAACAGCTTTGAGCAAGTACATTTATTCAGAAATTGTACCATTTATCAAAAGCCACTCAGGTAGTCTTTGGTCTGCTAACCCTGACCCCAAAACAACCACAAAACAACCACAAAGAGACCCAACACATCCACACAGATGTCTCATTGCAGCTGTTGCGCTCTTCCTATTATCTAGGAGCGGTGGTATGAGTACCTTTTCTTGTTTTACGTCCATCAAATCTCAATTTGTAAACAAAACTCTCTGTATTTTGAGGTTGCCAATTCCTCTGTGAGTTCAAGTACATGCGTCAGTGTTCGTGAAACTCAAACGCCAGGTTATCTTTCCCCCTGCTGTCAGTCACTGTTTCTGCACGGTTTTCTGACCTCACAGGCAACCTGTAGGTGCAGAAAATAATCCCGGAGACAATCATGAGGCTCGTCCCAACCAGTCCCACCCAGATGCCCAACCCAACATGTTGAGAGTCAGGAGTCGGGGGTAGTTTAAACTCTGGGGGGAACTTTATAGTCTGATTGGTCACCACAGAGTTCAGGTTCCACAGCAGAGGAGTGAGGGACATGATGGCGGCCATAAGGCACAGAGCGCCACTTGTGAGGAACGTCAAGCGGATAGGGGAGTTCTTCCCCATCCCAAAATACACGTTCCTCAAGGTGTAGACTCCACCAGCGTTCCCACAGAGCCCCACCAGCAGAGACAGCAGCATGAGGACCTGCCCTCCCACTATCTCTGGAGGTGTGAAATCCTCCATTAAGCTGATGAACCTGCAGTGCATCACTCTGTATCCAGGCGTCACCAGGGTGTGGCTGTTGAAACACGCCCGAAAAACGCCCACCCACGCCACCCCAGAGCTGATGACCTCCCTGTCTGACACCAGCCAGACCCTCCACTGGATGAGTCCAAGGGAAACGGCGGTGAGCGTGCATCCAATGCAGGAGAGTGACAGAGCGAGGAGCTGGGAGTGGCCGGTGTGAGCCAGGTAGGTCATGGTGGAGGAGAGGTGGAGGAGGGGTGGAGGAGAGGTGGAGGAGAGGTGGAGGAAGGGTGGAGGAAGGGTGGAGGAGAGGTGGAGGAAGGGTGGAGGAGAGGTGGAGGAGGGGTGGAGGAGAGGTGGAGGAGAGGTGGAGGAAGGGTGGAGGAGAGGTGGAGGAGAGGTGGAGGAGGGGTGGAGGAGAGGTGGAGGAGGGGTGGAGGAGAGGTGGAGGAAGGGTGGAGGAGAGGTGGAGGAGGGGTGGAGGAGAGGTGGAGGAGAGGTGGAGGAGGGGTGGAGGAGAGGTGGAGGAGAGGTGGAGGAGAGGTGGAGGAGGGGTGGAGGAGAGGTGGAGGAGAGCGTCAGGTGGCAGAGAAAGTCCTGATCCGACACACACACACCACCACGGCCCCTGATAGACCACCAAACAAATAAAGAGTGTAAAAATCATTGTTGTTTCAATGGTTTGAATGTTTTGCACTATTTAAATTATAGTAATAGTAGTAGTTTCAATGGTTTTAATGGTTATAATGGTTTTGGACTATTTAATAATACAAAACAGATAACAAATGACAAACAGTGCTTTGCAGGACGATGCAAAAAACCTATTGGGCTTATTTATAGCCCTAAATCACAAGATCAGTAAACAAACAATGGGTTAAAATGTATAAAAATAGCTAACATTAAGAACCACATATGCTATACAAATTGTAATGTGCAATAACACTGCCTGTAAATATAAAAACTCTTGAGCAATATCCTCATTTCTGATCTATGCCACCTTTCATACTCATAGAGAAGTGTTTCTGCGTGGCAGCAGCGCTTCCTCTTTTTGTACCTTTTCTCTGATGCTCGGGTGTCACCTGGGTTACCTGGCAAACAATCAGCTCCCTGTGAGAGGACAGAAACACAGGTGAGCAAAACAAATCTCAATGTGGAGACTTTATGGAGTTCAGAGCTCCACCAATGAATCACTGATCTATAAGACATCAACTATTATGATAAAAGACACATTTTTTTTAAGTGATATACATGAAAAAATGCCCCTAAACAACCCCTATAATGGGGAGATGTCCTGCTTTTCTCTGTTTTATATCAGAAAAGTGAACATATTTGGGTTTCCTACCCACAAACAACACATTTAGAGTACATCACCTTGAACCTTTCTACTATTTTCGGACATTTTACTGAAACGATTAATCTAAGAAATAATCATTCGGACAGCCATATGAGAGTCATGTTGACATGTTTATGCTTTTCTATAATATTTGACACAGGTGTAGCCAGTCTAACCAGTTGCTTCACTTCAATGTAAACATGTGAATAATTATAAAAGAAAAAATCATTATTATCCATCTTAGAATACTGATTTTGCGTTAACTTCAATACAAAATGATAAAACTCACGACTAAACTGAGCAGATTGTAAATCCCGTAGGAGGAAAGCATGTTTGGAAAACTTCACGTGACTGACACATATCACAGACGGCACATTTAAAGTCAAACTCGTAATGTTTGTGTCTTACCTGGGGGTCGTTCTGTTCCTCGTGGCCGTCTGGATAACAGAGGGACACTTCCTCATCCTGCTACATATAACCTAGATACAATTCCTGTCATGTAGTGAAACAGACAGTAAATCATTGACAGAATATTGATATGCTCTGATGGAGAGGAAGGGTGTGTGTGTCATTTAGTTTGAGTCTGCCGATTACGTTGCTTTTTATTGCACAGTGCGCACTACATGTCTTTTATTTTGACTATAGGTAAAAAAAAAGGCATTTTTAAAGGTTTTTCTGAAATAATTGTGATTGTTTGAGAAAGGAGCTAATTATCACGTTGCAAAGAGGTACAATTGTGTTCCCTTTAAGTTGATTTTAACAAGTTTATTTGTTGTTAAACCAACCAGAGTAATGTTGACTTACAGGTTAAATACAAAAATGGGTTTAATAGTAAAAGAAAAAAGGCTTTTTAGTGTATTCTTTATATTTATTTACTCAGCTAATCAGGTTTTTCCGTAGTGGATAAAACACAAATATGACCTTTTACGACAGCAGATGTCCACACCTGTCATATTTACCTCAATCACATCTTAACACAGTGCTTCAGAGGGATATTTATGTAGGTTAAGTGACGGCTATGTCGGGAAAAGTGTAATAAAAGCTAAGAAATTGTCATGAAGAGGATCGTCATAGGAAATGTTTTCTCACCCACTTTTTCCAAATTAACTCCCAGCAGTAAAAAGTCCAAAGTGGCGGCCAACAGGTCGTAAAACGTTGAGCAACAGATTGAAAAAACATCATTAGAGATTGTACACAAAATCACCAGATAACCTTGTGATTTGTTGAAGGGAAAAGATAAGCCCTTAAGTCGTTTACTGTGATCAATATTAACTCTTAAATATCTTTCCACTCCCACCTGCCCAACGAGAGTTCCCACACTCAGTACTTCTCAAAGGTTGAAACAGAATTAATCAATAATGGGACAGTTTCTAGAGATATGACCATTTTAGGAAACAATCAGTATTTTTGACCATCTGAATTATAGGCATATTAATACATCAAGTCAATTGTGTATATGTATAGTCAACAGTCACATTTCCACTTTGGGACTCTTTGATTGTTGACATTTGGAGTTAAAATGAGCTTTTCTTGGTATTTTACATCGTCACAGCCCGGCTTTTAGACAGGGACACATACAGGAGTACACTTTATACCAAATTAAGATAATATCAAGCAGGTTAGATTCATCTAAAAAGAATAGCAGATAACTTAAAGTGTTAAATAATTGAAACGTGATTTCAAGGTTGAAGTATGTTGATGCAACGGCTGTTCGTCATTGGGTAAAACTGTTTCCAAGTGTACTATGCTAGTGAAATATAAAACTGACGTCACTTATAATAAAACAATTTACAAGAAGATCACCATGTGTCACAGCTTTATAATTTTATTGCTTAAAGTTGGTGAAAGGTGCACCTGTGTGGGCCGTTATCCACGCCCACGTCAGTCCACGAGAGGCTACGGTAGGCACGTGTTCAAATAAATATGAATGTAGAAAGTCCTCAAAAGCAGAGCGTAAAGTGCTGTGTTTTAAATGAACCTGTATAGAAACTGCGCCTTCACTCTGAGAAAACAATAAATAAATCCGGTGGTTGTGAGGCCGTCGTCAAAGTGTTTGAGTGGGAGCTTCAGCTGAACAACCACCCAGAATATAAGGATAGAAAACAATCTGTACCGCTGGAAAAATCCAACATCGTCCAGTTGTTTGAGCTAGCGTAAATCCAAAAGGTGTCACTCACAAAAAGAGAAACTCATCATGTGTGAAAGACATCGACCCTTTAAGAGTGATACTCTACACAAAGGGAGATACTGTTGGTCGTAAAAGCAATCAAATATCATTTGGAAATCAAACTCTTAATTTCATTTTGTTAGAAAACAAAAAAAAATACGTCACGAGTGAAAATAAATTACCGAAACAATACAATAAATACAAAATGAAACTAAAATAAAACACACATGATGGTTATTCATTACAAAAGGGAGACAGTGTAAGATAAGGTAACAACCAAAGTAATGTATATAATTTGGTTTATACATAAAAACCTATAAATTGTATTTGTGTAATTATAATTAATCATATTATTAAAGGTTTCCGGAGAATAAAGCCACAACTTGGGTATTTAAAATAGTGTTGGTTACTATCAGCATACATAGCTTTTTATGTATTATAACTTTAAAATGCTAAAAAGAACATGAATACCTTGACTTTGGGATACTAAAAGATGTAAAAAATAAGTAAAAATTGTAAAAATAGGAGGAAATCAATGATCTCTAGACTGAATGTATTTGGAAATTAAGGAAGAATTCTCTATGTTTTGTATAAAATCTATTGAAAACTTTGACGACACAATATCTCTGTGTTCCTGTCTGGTCTCTGTGCAAAAAATGGTCCTCAAATCTCAATCAATTATTGATCTAATTGACCTAAATTAGTTCCTGAGGCTCCTTTAAAAACTAGAATATTTGATCGATGGGAAATGTAGTCTTAATTGCGAGGAGAGCGTCAGAAAAACCGCCTTGAATTGAACTCTGACACAGTTTCACAAAGACAATAATATGGAAATGCAGCACGCTCAGATGTAGGCATGCTTCGATCTGGATTTCCTCTACAGATTTAGGAGTTGTTGTCAGGTGAGCATCAGAGCATCGGCCTCTGGTCCAGCGGCAGACTGTCCAGCAGACACTTCAGCTGCTCCTCTCCCAGGTGGATCTTATCCTCCAGTTTTCTCTGCTCGATGATGAGCGCTGACTTCATCTTCACAAAGTGCCGGTAGTCGTCCAGGTTCTCCGCATCCAGGTGAGTCTCCATGATGCTCGACACCACCCTCTCCCTGCGGTCCAGGTTCTCCTTCAGCTCCTTGGCATCCTCGTGCTGCTGCATCAGCAACTTACGCTTCCTCGTTAGTGTCCGCTGGAGAAAGATGGATATTCATTTGTTGATCGAGCTTCAAAATTGATTTTTTAAAATACTTTTAAGATCTTAATCTGCTCTTAATTTGATTTCATTTCAAGTTAAAACAGAGGGTCTTTGCTATTATTAAAGGACAGCGGCTGTGGGAGAGCTGTGGGCGGCAGAGAGCGATTTCAAATGCCATATTATTCATTTGTCTTTTTATTGAATATCTATAGTTTTGTATAGTTATTGAATATCTATAGTTTTGTATAGTTATTGAATATCTATAATTTTGTATAGTTATTGAATATCTATAGTTTTGTATAGTTATTGAATATCTATAGTTTTGTATAGTTATTGAATATCTATAATTTTGTATAGTTATTGAATATCTATAATTTTGTATAGTTATTGAATATCTATAGTTTTGTATAGTTATTGAATATCTATAGTTTTGTATAGTTATTGAATATCTATAGTTTTGTATAGTTATTGAATATCTATAGTTTTGTATAGTTATTGAATATCTATAATTTTGTATAGTTATTGAATATCTATAATTTTGTATAGTTATTGAATATCTATAGTTTTGTATAGTTATTGAATATCTATAGTTTTGTATAGTTATTGAATATCTATAGTTTTGTATAGTTATTGAATATCTATAGTTTTGTATAGTTATTGAATATCTATAGTTTTGTATAGTTATTGAATATCTATAGTTTTGTATAGTTATTGAATATCTATAATTTTGTATAGTTATTGAATATCTATAGTTTTCTATAGTTATTGAATATCTATAGTTTTGTATAGTTATTGAATATCTATAGTTTTGTATAGTTATTGAATATCTATAGTTTTGTATAGTTATTGAATATCTATAGTTTTGTAAAGTTATTGAATATCTATAATTTTGTATAGTTATTGAATATCTATAGTTTTGTATAGTTATTGAATATCTATAGTTTTTTCACTTCTGTGTTTTTATTCATCACAAAGTGTTACGTTTCTCTGTTCTTTGTGTTACCTTTTCTGTATAAAAGTGCTATAAATAAAGTTTGATTGATTGAAAGAAGATCAGGTACAAACTGAGACGTCATCTTTGAATGATCTGAACAGATTTCAAAGGACTTTTTTATATTTGGATATGCACAACTAACATAAATAGATAAGTCCCAGACTCCTCCAACCATGCTACCTCTAATATTCTGTGACACGGTGATGCCAGGAAGAGTAAACTATGTGCATGCAAAACCCAATGAGATAAACAGAACGTCAATACTGCATATTGCATATTCCCCCCCCCCCCTCATGTGACGGATGCTCCTACCTTCTCCTCCGGCGGTGCCTCCTCCTCCAGGCTGTTCAGGGCGTTCTCCACCCTCGCCAGCCTCCCAGAGAGCGACAGCAGGAGGCTCACCACTTTATCCAGGTCTCCCACGAACATGCAGAACTTATCGAGCTGGTTCGCCTGACAGATTCTCTGCACGGTGCCCTCCACCTCGCAACCCAGAGCCTCGTTGTCCTCCACGTCCTCCTGAAGACTCCTCCGGGCCTCCCGAAGCACCTCCAGCTTCCTCGCAAGGCTGGAGATCAGCTCTTGCTGGAGAGGAAAACACACATGGAGCATTCAGAGTTAGACAAGATCAGATTGACACTTATTTGGGACATTTTAGCATAAAAAATGGCATGCATTATGTGCATTGCATTGCACATAATGTGACACTAACATTTCAAAAGTTGACGGTGAAAGATAAAAACCAGTCAAACACAATGAAGCTAACACAATTTCAAAATAGGATATTATTTACATTAAGTGTGCAAGGACTAGCATATCAAATGTACAGTGTGAAGAATAGTCCAGTTATACGATGGGAGAAAGTTGACCCACTCAAATTCAATGTAAGTCAATGTTTAAGCAGATTTCAACATACAGGTTGAGAGTATTATTGTCTGCTGTGTGTTATAAAACATCATATGTCTTGCTTTTTGCCTCTCAGTGGGTGAGTTGTACCTTCTTGCTGGCCAGGTCGACGTCCAGCTCGTCCTCAGAGTCCTCCAGCTGCTCCTGCATGTCCTTCATCTTGATGAGGAGCTCCGCTTTGGGAGCCGATGTGTTGTAGTACGAGGAGCTGGGAACCAGGGAGGCTACTGCAGACACAGAAGCATCCTCCTCCTCCCTCCTGACACACACATATATATATATATACAGGTAAAGAGCTTGTACTGTGTTTTAGAATGATGACTGTAATCACACACACACACACACACACACACACACACACACACACACACACACACACACACACACACACACACACACACACACACACACACACACACCACACACACACACACACACACACACACACACACACACACACACACACACACACACACACACACACACACACACACACACACACACACACACACACACACACACACACACACACACACACCACACACACACACACACACACACACACACACACACACACACACACACACACACACACACCTGTCCATGCTTCTGGGGGACGATGTGGGCAGTCTGGATCCAGAAGAGGCTCTCTTGCGCTGCTGCCCCTCCTCCAGGACCTGCTCCTCCGTGGGGAACAGCCCCTCCATCAGGTCCATGGTGGTCTTTCTGCCGCTCTGATCCAAGATGTCTGCCAGAGACTTGTCCTTCCCCATGATGTCTCTGGCCAGCTCCTCTCTCTTGGCGTCCTCCACTGAGGGCCGACCCCCCGCTGAACTCGACTCTGGGATCGGATTCGGAGCTGGATCCTGACGAGTGTAGGCGCTGAAAAGAGAGGAAGCCGGACGCTCTGCTGTGTTCAAAGAGGGGAAGTTTGTTGGTGGTTCGAAGACGATGCAGGTGTCGCTGTTTTGAGGCAGATAAGCACGAACATCTCGCTCTGAAACGCTCTCAGAGTGAACGATCCTCACCGGGACTTTCCTCACCGGACTGTTCACATCCATCTCAGCCGGGAGCTTCAAATCATTCTCTGACCTGCACGGGAAACACAGTTCAATCTATCAATCAATGTTTATTTATATAGCCCAATATCACAAATGTTACGTGGTGGTGAGTGTGCTTCTGTTCAGAGGTGGGAAGTAGTGCAAATACTTCGTTACTGTACTTAAGTACATGTTTCTGGTATCAGTACTTTACTCCACTACTTATTTTTCTGACGACTTTTTACTTTGACTTCTTACATTTTGAACCCAAATACCTGTACTTTCTACTTCTTACATGTTGAACCCAAATACCTGTACTTTCTACTTCTTACATGTTGAACACAAATACCTGTACTTTCTACTTCTTACATGTTGAACCCAAATACCTGTACTTTCTACTTCTTACATGTTGAACACTAATACCTGTACTTTCTACTTCTTACATGTTGAACACAAATACCTGTACTTTCTACTTCTCACATGTTGAACACAAATACCTGTACTTTCTACTTCTTACATGTTGAACACAAATACCTGTACTTTCTACTTCTTACATGTTGAACCCAAATACCTGTACTTTCTACTTCTTACATGTTGAACACAAATACCTGTACTTTCTACTTCTTACATGTTGAACCCAAATACCTGTACTTTCTACTTCTTACATGTTGAACACTAATACCTGTACTTTCTACTTCTTACATGTTGAACACAAATACCTGTACTTTCTACTTCTCACATGTTGAACACAAATACCTGTACTTTCTACTTCTCACATGTTGAACCCAAATACCTGTACTTTCTACTTCTCACATGTTGAACACAAATACCTGTACTTTCTACTTCTTACATGTTGAACTCAAATACCTGTACTTTCTACTTCTTACATGTTGAACACAAATACCTGTACTTTCTACTTCTTACATGTTGAACACAAATACCTGTACTTTCTACTTCTTACATGTTGAACACAAATACCTGTACTTTCTACTTCTCACATGTTGAACACAAATACCTGTACTTTCTACTTCTTACATGTTGAACACAAATACCTGTACTTTCTACTTCTTACATGTTGAACCCAAATACCTGTACTTTCTACTTCTCACATTTCCCAAACAGGCTGGTTCCTTTAGTTTGAATGTGTGTTTGGTGGCGTGATCATTATTATTTAGAGTCATTGCGTGCCTATTGATTTGAACACGATCCGTGTATCCATCATTTCCTGGTCTTCTCTAAAGAAGAGGGACCAATGAAAACGTTGTCATGTTGCCGTTGTTCAGCATGGAAACATTCATTAGCTAACAATGACATTATTGTTCTATTAATATAAAGGGAGGTCAGGTACTCTTTAAAACAGCTGCTAGTTATGGGTACTTTTTACTGAAGTACATTTCAAAGTTCTGTACTTTTACTTGAGTAAAGAAGTTTAGTCAGTACTTCTACTTTAACCAGAGTATTTTAACACACGAGTATCTGTACTTCTACTTGAGTAAAGGATGTGTGTACTTTTGACATCTCTCTCAATATCAGATGATGTCCCACTCACAGCTGGTACACATAGAAACATCCAACACATGTCAAACACACAGCGGACCATTTCTAATTAGAGGATGCATGTTACAACTGAATGGAAAAGGTCACAGCAGCTCCTGTGGCTTCAACAAAATTACAGCTTCTAGTTTAAAAGGAAATTTGCAGAGGAAATCCCCGACAAGCAAAACCTTCTCTGTGGGCACATTATACATTTTTAGGCATTATCGTCAGCTGACAGAAGACGCAGCTTGTTTTCAGCTTGTTTTCAGGTTGTACTTTTGACATTTTCTGTGCTATTTGAGTTAAAATCTCATTTGTATTTGAAGTCTGACAGATAAGCTGTTGTGGAGGAAGTATTCACATCCTTTACTTAAGTAAAAGTACTTATACAATAAAAATATTTGAATAATAAGTAAAAGTACTTGAATATTCCGGTACAAGTACAAGTCCTGCATAAGTAAGGAAGTATTATCAGCAAATATGTAATTTAAGTATTACAAATAAAATAACTCAATACAACAAATTATTAAAAAATATGTATACATGCCATTTAATTTTCTTTCAATCTCCTAATTGATTAATTGTCTTTAAGCTGTTCTTGTATAAATGCCTTAATTATTTAGCGTATTTAACGTATTATTCTACACTCTCTACTGAAGCAGGTTAAAGCTTTGCCTGACGATATGCACTGAGGAGACCTGATGCATTCTGGGTGAGCATCTTACCTTGGGTCCCCTGAAAGGCGCTATATATATATATATATATACAAGTTATTATTATTGTTATTATTACCTGAGCGCGATGTCCTCCGGCACCAACACGGCCGGCGGTTTGTCGGTGAGTCTCAGCGGTGCAAACTGAGGCGAGGGAGACCGCGTTCGTAGCGATGAAGAACAAGAAAGCTGCTCCTTCTCCTTCTCCACCTCGTTTTCTCCACCTCTGAGCGTCCGTTTTCCAGCGGAGGAGTTGTGGCTGTCAGAGCTGCAGCTGGACAGCACGTCTGGAGCGAGGAATTCCTTGGAGGAGGAGGAGGAGGATGTGGTTTCTGCGCCTAAATGGAGCCTGGGCGGAGGCAGCAGGCCTTTGGTTGGTGGAGGCGGCAGAGAGCCTGAGGAGAGTTTGGAGTGGGAGGAGTTGGCAGATTCTGGTTTGTTCCTGTGGTCAGCCGGGCCCTCGATTCTGGGCACTGACGGAGCCGAATGTGGGCTGCGGTCGGCCTGGTATCGCTGCTGGCTCTCTGTGTTCCCTCTGGAGGTCAAAGTAAAGACAAACTTGAGGGCAAAGTCTAATTTTAGCAAGTGTCTTATTTTGTAAATTGGTTCTAACTTTGTTTCGGTTTTAATAGTTAAATTAAATGTTCCTCCTGCCTTTGAATGTCTCTATAGCTTTGTTTGAGTGAGTGAGTGAGTGAGTGAGTGAGTGAGTGAGTGAGTGAGTGAGTGAGTGAGTGAGTGTGTGTGTGTGGTGTGTGTGAGTGAGTGAGTGTGTGTGAGAGTGAGTGAGTGTGTGAGTGAGTGAGTGAGTGA